CTCTTTGTCTCCCCGAGGGGTCGGACCGCTCCCGTCTCGGCCCCGAGGGCCGAGGCGCCCCGACCCCTTATGGGTTTTGCGCCGCGTATATGGGGAAGGTGAGCATAGCGGGGCTCACCTAACCACATTTATTGCGGTTTGGACGAGCGCGTCACGCCGCATGTAACGCAGTGCAGCGCACTCGTTTATCCGGTCTGTGACCAGTCACAGACCGATCAGATCGTGGGTTAGGTGGCGACAGGCGGTCTGACGCACGCCTCGCCCCATCCCGTCAGGATGAGAGCCTCCAAGCACTCGTCCCTAGCCGGAACCGGCGTGTTAGCTCCTGGAGATGGCACGTTGGTTCCGGTCAGATATATGCCAGGCTTCATCCTAACCATTACAGGCAAGATATTGTATGAAGAGGGGCGAACATGCAGATTGATAAACTGACGCGTGGTGGACAAGAATGACCGATTTGTGACCGGTCTGACACTGATCATGTCGTCAGCAGACAGCCATGTTCCCACGTCGCGCCTGCTTCCGACGGAAGTGGAGGTAGGTATGGGCCGTCCCATCAGAAGGTCATTCGGACGGCAGCCATACAAATCTCCGTCCATTAATGAAGAGAAGTCAAGTTGGAGGGAAGAGAGGATGAGTCCCCACACAAAAGAAAGAGAGAGAGAGATGGTGCATGTGGTATCCCCTTGAGATATAAAAGGAGGACCTTGCCCACTTAGAGGAAAAGAAGGAGGAGAAAACGATCCCGGAACGATCGGGGGCTGGCTCGCACTTTGTAACTTCTTCATACACAGATCCACCAAAACACAGGAGTAGGGTATTACGCTTCTCAGCGGCCCGAACCTGTATACATCGCCCGTGTCTTGTGTTTTTTCCATTCTCGCGAACCTTCCACACACAGACTAGGAGCTTAGAATCTCACCTAGGGCCCCCGGCCGAACCGGCAAAGGGGGGCCTGCGCGGTCTCCCGGTGAGGAGCCCCACGCTCCGTCAATAATACTATGATATGTCTCATCTACTTCTAATTTATTATATTTTGGAATGGAAGGAGTATATAAGCGGGGAAAAGTATAGTAGGAGTAACTTGATGGATGATTGTCACCGTACCAGACATAAATTAGTTTGTTGCCTCTTTTTGTTATTAAAATCCCATTTGCTAATACTAGTAAAAAGAAAGTCCGATTTTGGTTAGTCGTTTTTTAACCCTGGCTCCGATCGCATCCACGGTAGTAGCTGCTGCTGCTGCGTACGTGCAGCTATCTCATCCAACAACAGAAAGAAGGGAAAAAAAAAACGCGCACGTCCCCGGTCGGTTCGGTCGACTGTGTATGGACGGCCGCAACCGCACGCACACACTCACCGTGTCGAACACAGCAGCAGCTGGTGGCTTTGTAGCCCTAGGTCCCGTAAAAAACTAATCTAGAACCGAATATAACATATATTTTAGTACTACGAATCTAGATACTTCCTTCATCTTATAAAAAACCAATATAGTATTGGATGTGACACATCCTAGTACTAATAAATGACCAGCTAAAATATGTCACATCCAGTACTAGATTCGCTGTATAAGAATATGTCACATCCAGGACTAGACTCGTTTTTTTATAGAGAGAGTATGTTTCTATATATAAAGATTGATAATACTAGAATGTGTCATATTTCGATATTATTGGTTTAAAGCATTACTGGAGTTACAATATATAATATGTTATATTCGGTATTAGGTTTGGTTTTTTATGCAACAGAGTGAGTATCTGGCTCCCTACCCGATCGAGCACGTCACGCAAACCGACCCCGATCCGTCCGTCCGTCCATTCATCCATCGTACTCCCTCCGTCCCAGGATATAAGAAGTTTTAGAGTTGGACACTGTTATTAAGAAAATAGGTAAAAGTGAGGGCCCCATTGATTCAAAGGAAATTCATAGGTATTTTAGAGAATTTCATTCCTATAGTAATTTTTCTTATATAGCCCTTTGAATCAAAGGAATGGATCCTATGAAATCCTATGAAATTCCTATGAAATGACTCTTCCCATGTAAGTTTTGGAGGAAATTTAACATGAGGTAGAACCTCATGAAAAGAATCCTTTGAGTCTTTATCTCTCCTCAAATTCCTGTATTTTTCCTGTGGCCCAATTAAACAGTCATTCCTATGTTTTTCCTGTGTTTTGCAATCATCTGTTTTACACTTGCATTCCTATCAGAATCCTATGTTTTTCCTATTCCTCTGTTTTTTCATTCCTATGATTCAAAGAGGCCCTGAATGGTGAAGGGTTGTGATTGGATGAGTAATGGAGATAGTTGGGAAAAGTGAATGACATAGGGTTGTGATTGGTTGGAAAGAGAATGCTGGTGGAGAAGTTACTCCCCTCGTTTCACAATGTAAGTCATTTTAGTATTTTCCACATTTATATTGATGTTATATGTCTAAGAAATATTAGAATGACTTATATTGTGAAACGGAGGAAGTATTATGGGATAAATCCTAAAGACTAAAAGTTGTTATATTTTGGAACGGATGCAGCAGTAGTATATACTTTTTTTTGAGAACAGCAGTAGTATGGTACTTACGTGCAGCCTTGCGTATCAGTCACTCGATCGATCCGACGAGGGCGAGACGGAGCAGATGGATGGATGGATGGGGTTCGCCAGGTGGAGGCCGGCTTTGCTGTCGCCAGTTCCACGGCCTGCAGGCGCGTCGGATGGGAGTCAGTCCCCACCCTATGCCTAGGCGAGTAGAGTAGGCCACCTGCCCCTGGCCGTACATATGTCCCGTTCAGGAAGGCGGTGCGGTGGTGGGTACTGTACGTGTTCTTGGGACCGAGATAAGAGAGGCTGCGATGCATCTGCACCTGCTCCCAGCCTCCCACCACCATTCAGCGGATACTTCTATCATTTTTGGCGAATTCTGTTTCTGTCATCACGCTGGAGCTATGATGATCGCTTCTTCTGAAAGGAATTAGCGTTTTTCTTTACTCCCTCGTTACGAAGGCTTTCACGGTGCACGGAGTTATTATTTAGCACGAACCGACTATCTCAGATATTCGGCTCCATGTTATCTGGTCTATTTTGTTGCCCCCACAAAGAACCGGGAGCCAAATTAAGCTACAGGTTCCTCGTCATAATTTACAAATATAGGCTCATACTCTCTGTCCCATATCACTAGGGAAGGGATAGAGAGGACTGGCAGGAGGAGAGGCCCTCGTCATCATACCCGTGCTTCACGCCGATGGGCTTGTCAGCCAAGGAAAGAGGGTGACACTGTGGCCGCGAAAGAGAAGGGATGAGGGGGGAGGGGGGTGAGTAGCATCACTGCCATTCTTGTCCTCGTTGTCCCTTGAGGTGGTGTCGAACGTCGCGTCGAGAGGAAAGGGGGTAAGGTGGTGTCGGATCCTATGAGCAGCTGACGCTACCCAAGGCCGGATCCGATGAGCCCCAAGTCGGATTCGGCGAGCATAGCAGCACCGTCATCTCCCGCGGCGGCCACCCCGACAAGGAGAGGTAGTGCTCCACCCGGCGCCGTCATCGCTCTGCTCGGCACGGTCGCCAAATCCGCCCCCAAGCACATTGTTCCCTTCTTCTATGCTTGGCTAGATCTGGTCACTCCGCCCGACACCTCGCTTTCTTCGCCCAGCACCTCAGCTTCCTCCGCCGATGGAGAAAGACAGAGAGGAGAGAGGGGGATGAAAAGTGGGAGAGGAGTTATTGGTGGGACCCACTACAAATACAATGAGTGTGTATCCTTAGAGGGGCTTGGGCCTAGGTGGCAACCGAGGCCCAACAAGTGCAATACCTTCACTCCTATCGCCCTAAGTTTGTTTTGACTTATGTAAGATTTACAAATTTGCCGTTGGTTTTTTTAATTTGAAATATGCCAGTATGCCACTTGAACGATAGTTCTGGTGGTATTTTTATAATTTTTTAGTGACATTCTTGCAATAACGATTCAAACTAGTGGTAAATTTACAATTGCCCCTAAAAAAAATTATGTTGCAATTGCTTACTCTTGTACTCGCGATCCGAGTGCCAAAGCTAAATGCAGAAAACAAACAATTCTAAAAGTAAGTTCTAGTACAATTTAGAATTTACTACAGTTTATAAACAACTGCTCAAACCAAAAAGGTTCTCAATTTTTTTGTGTACAGTTCAGTTTTTTTTTTTTTTGGAGAACACCTTGGCTAGAGCTTGGATCCGACCCAAAAAGGTTCACTTCCGTAAGCTGGATCGGACAACCGTGCTTAGCTTCTCCACCACCAAGTTCTTGGCAATTTAATCGTGGTGCCATAGGCCTGATAATGATTTCATCAACAACTAGCTACATGAATTGATGGATACTTTTGGTATTAATCGCTTGAGAAAACCCCATCTTCGGTCTTCCGGTCGATCATAAACACATCAGATAGGCGTATGGTTCACATGTTGGTGGTTTCTTTAAGGCTTCGATTAGTGCACGCGGAATTTTCTCTAGAAGGAACACCAGAAGGAAACATCCGCTTTCACTGGATCTGGATGTGAATTTTTCTCAAGATTTTCCGGTAGGCATCATGCTCCTCCGAATTCCCTTGAAGTTTTCATTGTTCGCTCCAATAACCGCTCATTTTTTTGTTAAAATTCTACAAATTGGCATGCTTCTTTTCTTCTTTCACCTTTGCGAATTGCGATGAATACATGCCACCTAGCGTATTTCTAGCGTGCCGGCACCCGGCAGTCAAAACGAAGACGTGCGGTCAAAAACGTACTCCCTCCGTGTGCATACATGATTTTCCGCACCCAACTTTAACCGATTTTCCGCACCCAACTTTAACCGTTCGTCTTGTTTGAATTTTTTTTAAAAAAAAATTAAAAACATAAGTCAAGAGTAAAGTAATTTTTATGTTTTATTATCTCAGCAACAAAAATGCTAATTATAAAAAAAATTTCAAATAAAACGGTCGATTAAAGTTGGACGCAAAAACTCATAGTTGCGCTTATTTTAGGACGGAGGTAGCAAGAGAAGCTCTGCAAAATGCCAAACCCGGCTGTTCTGATAGGACGGGCCCACACGACCCGGAAAACCGAGACCAGCCACAAAAACGGGAGATGCCATCCATCCGTCCTTCCGGTTCGATGCATCGGGTCACCTTCCTCCAGCAACAAGCCAACAACGACAAGTCTCGACGAGATTCATGCACGATGAAGTCACGCGTGCGATGAGAAAACCGCACGCGTGTCTGTAGCATGGCAAAACCAGGGATGCGCCACTTGTGCCGCTGCGACTTGAAGCTCACTCGCATAGTACATTCGGTTACTTCCATGTTGCTTTCAGGCCAAAGAGAGTACACGTTTGGTTCAAATTCAACCCGTTATAACTTGGGAGTTGCTTCCTGCGATGTCACGCATGATCTGCCCGCCATGATTCTGCAGGATCAGTAAAGATCCCACTATTCAGCAACCAACTGCAATTGGCAAGGCAAAGATATGCATGAGTGTGACAGTGAGATGAGAGCTAATATGAACCACTACAATTCTAATTCTGTTCAGGTTAAGAAAAGAAAACCGGGGAGACCCAAAACCATTCATGAAACCTGCACATCTGATCTGCATTTCATCGGTCAGGAATGCAGTTGATCTCACTGATATTTGGTAATAACTATATAAACTATGGAGTCTTCACAGCTGAAAGAAAATAAAAAATCATCGATGAAATAAAAGTTCAATGTACCATGGATCATCATATCAACGGCAACCACAGGACAGTGCGGTTGATCCATTGATGTGGACCAGCTAACCTATATAACCATCCTTACACAGATGGACCACTACAAGATTGAGGCCTTGGCAATGGTAATAGACACTCGTTTATCCGAGTGACATTTGTGGGGGAGAAAGCGAGAGGGGCTAAGGCACTTGGCAGAGGAGAGAGCCCCCTGCTACGGCAACTCTTGCCAGCCTCATAATATCGGTACTGTGCAACTTGGCACCACCCACATGGCAATATGGCACGGCAAAACTGCTTTCTGAAACCAGGTGCAGGTTCCCTAGCTCAATGTGCCTGTGCAAGGCAACTAACCTTCTTGTGGCCGGGCACCTGTGTACGTGTCACTGTCCTAAATGGGGAGTTCTGCAAATTGCAATTCCTATGGTTCTAAATAAGTAGAGGTTTTAATGATTTGATGAGTGCATCTACTTATCTAGATTTTTTTCCCCTTCAAAACAGTAGGCATCCCAGAAAAGTAGGTGAAAGCAACAAAGTATAGGAGCGCATTACTCCAATCAAAGCAGATGATCATGTTATACTCTAGAAAAAAAAGGCAAATATTTTTTTTTAGTCGGCAAGAAGTTATCCAAAAGCATAGGTGGGATCTATGCTTCCAGTGTTGACACAGTAAAGTTTTCTCTGTTCCAAAAGGTGAAAAAGGATACAAAACGTTTCTAACTCAAGCACATACGGAAGCAAGTGAAATAGTAGATGGTTGGAGCTATCAGTACTAGCTTTGAAAGAAGAGCAAATTTCAGCATGCAAAACATCCTACAGTACTGTTTCTCTTGTATAACCAAATTATTCCGCATAGAGTGCTAATCTAACACTACAAAAGCAAATTTAATGTTACTACAGACTGCCAGTCACAGAACAGACAAGGTAGTAATCAGCTGCTGTTTACCATCTACTCCCTCCATCCCATTTTAAGTGCAACTATAAGTTTTCGTGCCCAACTTTGATCATCCGTCTTATTTGAACTTTTTTTATAATTAGTATTTTTCTTGTTATGAGATGATAAAACATGAATAGTACTTTATGCGTAACTTATGCTTTTAAATTTTTCAAAAAAAAAATCAAATAAGACGGACGATTAAAGTTGGGCACGGAAAATCATGGCTACACTTAAAATGGGACGGAGGGAGTATCTTTTAAGCAATATATTTCCACCCGTTTGTCTCTATTACTAGCACTCACCACTTAAGGGTAACCAAAACCATAAACCCATAATCCATTCAAATACTATATGGTAATACTACCTCCGTTTCAGCTTATAAGACTTTCTAGCATTACTTACATTCATATAGATGCTAATGAATCTAGACACACACATACATATAGATTTATTAACATATATATGAATGTGGGCAATGATAGAAAGTATTATAAAGGAAAGACAATAGAAAATATGAGTAAATCGAACACATGAGACATACCTAAATGAGATCCTTTTCCCTGCAGGAGGAGAATGTGCATGTCCAGTTTCACAGAAGAAAGCATATGAATGTCGAGAGGGTTCATCCGCCTCTGAACAACACCTCTACACCAGTATACTTTCTAAAATCACAAAAACCACATGGAGTTAATCAAACAAAATAAACGATTTCTGAACGAGCTTTGAGAGAGATACAGCAATCAGATATGCTAACACCATATGAACATCGCTAATTTTAATGTAATAAAATAATCAAAATTAGAATGGATTATAAGATATACATGCAATTTGATAATGTCTAGGAAGTACAGGAATCTACTTGGCCCATAATGAGAAGGCCCATGTTCCCCTGGCTGTACCACTACCACCTTTCAACAGGTAAATGCGGCTCCAGAATCAACATGTACACTAAAGGACAATGCTGTCCATTATAAATACTGAAAGGATGCTCCACAGAAATGATTGTGTTTCCTCTGAATATTTTTGATAGCTGCGAGAGCTGGCTTCCTAGATGTACGGCCCCACCTTGATCTCTTCGTTACTCTGATTCCTCACTGGTAACACTTATAATCCTAGCTAGGTCTTGGACAATCTCTGACATTGATGGTCTGAATTCTGGTTCCGGCTGCATAAGAAATTTCAGATCATTCATCAATCACATGATTTTTAAATCCATCTCATATGGCTGTTCTCAGAAAAGAAAAACAACACAAGCAGAGCAGAGCATAGTGAACAGATAAACAAGTATATTACCTGAATGTGATTTAAGTATCAAAATGACTAAACAAATTAATTTGTGATATAATAACTTGGATATAAAATTGCAGAATGCATTTGACCTCAATAATGAAGTAAAATTATGCAATGGGCTAATAGGAAATTTAGATAGTTGATGCTTTTAGCCTAATTAAACAGCTCTCTATAGAAAATTCTGGCATAAAATCCTGATAGAGATGCTTAAGGAAGTGACACATGTACTATCTTATATTATGCTAGAAACTAGAAACTACAGTTTAGCTCAAAAGATAATGGAAGTATTTGATTACCCGAATACAACGGCTGATGATGTCTGCAAAACGTGACAGTACTTTCTCAGAACACTCTCCTTGAATAGAAGGATCAACCATCTTTGATATGGACTCAATGTCATGAAATTGAGAATCAGCCCATCTAACAAGATGTTGTTCAGCACGAGGACGAGAACTGCATATTGTAACGGAAAATAAGCAAGCAAACTAGAAAGTTCAGACAACATTTGGAGACAATTGATCTAACACAATTATGAAACTAAAATTAAGAAATGCATATTACGGTGAATCACTGACCTGTCATATGGTTTACGGCCAGTGAGAAGTTCTAGCATTACCACGCCAAAACTGTAAACATCACTTCGGTAGGTAAAAGTCCCAGCTTCATGGATTTCAGGAGCTTCATAATTCAGCAGTGCCCTCATGCGACCTGACAACTGGAATAAAAGAACACCATTCTAAGTTAAAACCACAGAGAGGACATCCTTGCAGCAATGGCTTCATTAGGAGATGCAATGGGGCAACCAGACCAGAGATGTGAACGAACTTGCTTGTTTCTTTGCTTGCTTAACTGATATTTGTTAAAGCCCTTAAATGAACCAGCTCCTAAAAACATCAGCTAAAAGCTTCTTAACTGAAAATAATCCTAACCAAAAGACAACACCTTATGAACAAATCGAGGGAACAACCATCAATTTCAGGCCTGAGGCGAGTTCTACTGCTGTGGTGGATGTGCATGGTAGGCTGGTAGCTGGAAGGCCCAACATAACTAATCTAAAACTTAAGATAAATAAAATTTTAACCCCCTTCTTTCAATAGTCTTTCCTGCGATAGTAAATATGTGGATAAGGCTGCTCTAGTTTGGAAGGAAGTTGTAGCACTGGACCTAGTAGCTGTCATGCCCTGAGAGCTGCTTAGGTGCTTGAATACTGGATTGTTACTCGTATGCAGTCAAATTATAAAGAGTAGTATTCACAACACTACAGATAGTCAGGTACTTTAATTAAATTATCACAAAACTACATATTTAAGGTGTTGTATCACAAAACTACAGATTTAAGTATTTAACACACGGTTTATCACAAAACTACAGATTTAAGGCCAAATATCACAAAACTACAGCTTTAATACTAGAGTTATCACGAAACTACATATTTTACAATTTAAATCCCTACCACTACTATCATGTTAAGAGTTATAAATGTTATAGTTTTGTACTTCCTCCGTTTCATATTATAAGACTTTCTAACATTGCCCACATTCATATATATGTTAATGAATCTAGACATATATGTGTGCCTAGATTCATTAACATCTATATGAATATGGGTAATGCTAAAAAGTCTTATAACCTGAAACGGAGGTAGTACTTAACTTGCTACAAAACATGTAGTTTGTGATATTTTATTACTAAATATGTAGTTTGGTGGTCTTCCATCTTAAATCTCTAGTTCTTTGATAAATTCGGTCCTAAATCTGTAGTTTTGTGATGCACCGCCTTAAATCTATAGTTTTGTGATAGTTTGATCAAAGTATATGTAGTTTTCTGAAATTTACTCTTCTTAATTGGACTTCAGGAATTTTAGGAAATGTATCAGAACTGCTTGCGACGGAAAAGCCGAAGTATCACAACCACAAGGTTGGTGTACAACACTAGATGTTACCTGTGTAACAGAACCTGACAGCGTCAATTCTGCCAGTCCACATTCAGCGACACGTACTGAGAATCCATTACCAAGGAGCACATTGGCTGGCTCAAAATTCTGGTGCACTACTGGAGGTTCACAGCTCTCATGTAGATAGCTGAAAGAAGAATATAAGTACAAAAGCTACCCCATGAAAAACTAAATTAAATAAGCACAAGTTCATGGTAATTATATTGAACCGCGATACAGCTTGGTAACTTACTCTAAGGCCTTTGCTGCACCAAGAGCAACTTGGAGGCGAGCATTCCATGATAGTGCACCATCCAATTCCTCCCCTTCATGTAGTACATCATGCAGTGTTTTTCTACTGAAATGATTATAAACAAGTAACCTCTGACCATATTCTGCACAGTATCCAACAAGCTCGAGGATGTTGGGATGCCTAATATCTGATACACTTGCAACCAGTTCTAGAAATTCATCTACCGGTATTCTATCATTGGCGTTATCAATCTTCATAACTTCCAAGAACTGCATAGGATAAAGGAAGATTAGTATAGCATTTCAATAATCATAAAATTCCATTTAAATGAAGCAGTATTTTGTAAACATACCCTGCCTTCAGGAAGTTCTGCCAGATATACTTTTCCCAACCTACTCTCTCTTATCAAATTTCCCTCTTCAAAACTATTTGTATATTGCTGAAGTGATGCAACAGAAAAGGATGTTGCAGATGTCGAGGGACCTGTCCTAGGTGGAGTACTAACTCTTTTCTCTGGCTTAACAATGGGATTTACAATCACTTTTTCAACAGGTGGTGGTGGTGGCGGCGGCGGCGGCGGCCGCGGCGGTGGCGGTGGTGGTGTCGGAGGAGGAGGAGGAGGTGGTGGTGGTGGAGGCGGCGGCGGCGGAGGTGTAGAAGCAAAAATTTCTGTTTCTGATCGCTGCAAGTTAATTACATGTTCTTTTCTCTTTTCAGGAGGCTTCTCGAGAGCAGCTGCCAGCAATTGAATAGTTATTTTATACATCTGAACTTAAAAATGTGAATAGTATTACAGTACTAAAAGACCTGATAGATCAGATTTACAAGCATCTATACCTGGTACCGCCAAATTTATTTCACGAACCTGCCTCCGTTCAGGAACCTCTGTTGATCCTGTTAATAGAACATCAATATGCTGTGATATAAAACAAATAAAATATAATCAGAAATATATTACAGAATATATAAATTAATTGTTGACCTTTTTTGGCATCATTCCTTGACTGCACTGAAGCTTGCTTAACTTTCGGCTCTTCAACCCTCTGATGAACCCTCCCCACCTGACTTGTTGTATAATCACGTCTTGACTGTCTCTCTTGGTACTTGGACAGGCAAAATATTACCAGCAGCACTGTAACTATAAACAGGACAATAGCTAGAAGAACATATCCAACAATCCTGAGGGTTGAAGACTTATGTTTCCTAGATGATGGAGAGCTGCTGTCTCGAGCAGTAGATCCACCAGAAGAATTAGAGGGCGAACTAGATGGCGAAGGAGTTCCAGAAGATGAAGGTGACGATGGTGTTTGTGTTGGTGTAGAGCCTGTAGGTGTTGAAGAGGGTGATGCAGAAGGAGCTATGCTGGTATTAAATGGGTTCCCATCCTTTCTGTAGACAAAAACAATGAATTACTCAATAAGTTACCTTACATATAATTACATATGGCAAAAGTATATAGTAGAGAGAATTTTTATGTAGGAATACCAAGTACTATGTGAATTGCATCAATAAATTTGAAATATGTAAGAAAAAGGATTCTCACTTGAAGTTTGGCACATTCAGCAACTTTGGAGGAACCGGTCCAGAAAACAAATTATTCTCTATATTTCTGTTTCAGGTAAATATATTATCAGAAACAAGTGTAGATATTTCATATTTGTATGCATAACAGCATTCTAAGAAAAAGGATGATCTGGATTAGACATACATAACAAATTGGATTTAAATTACTGTTTGACTTGTGAATGTCTATGATAAGATAAAAGCTAAATCACTTACATCACCTGTTCTTTTTTCTAACTAGTACAGCTTTGTTAAAACCTAAAAGTCCCGGTTCTGGTCATGACTACATGGTACATTATACTTCTGCAAACAAATGTATGACTGCCATGTACTTTGTGAAAGGATGTCAAGTTTCTACAACCTTATCAAATTCAATGTGACTGTTGAATAATAGAGAACTTTGTGTCTGCTAACATATTGTTGCATGTTACTTCAAAATAATGACAAAGTGCAGGATAATCATAATTTATACTATGACATCTCTAAAGTAGACCAGAAGAAAATGTCTGTTAAGCAGATCAATTTTATAAATCAACACATAACTGAGAATACAATTGCTGATTGTCCAATTTATACATAATGGTGTACTAATAAAAGTGAATCAGTAATATGATGACAGAATAGAGAGTGTGGGAATACAAATCTTTGAGGGGGAGATCCTGCAAGACATCAAGGGTTCCGGATAGTTGGTTGTCTTGCATGTGCCTGTAAAATAACAAGGCATGAAAATAAGTAAAAATGATAGGGAAAAAACTATATAAGAAAATACTTGTAGACTTACAATGTAGTCAATGATGACAGGCTTCCCAGAGAAGGTGGTAATGAACCACTGAAGTTATTGGATGAAATATCACTGTGGTCAAATGCTAGATGTTATGAACGAGTTAACAGTTCACCCCTTGCCTGCCAACCCTCTCGGGTCTTGGGGAAAATGAAGATATGATATACTCTCAGGTGCATGAGCAAGTGCACATGAAGAGTAAGAATAAGCAAAATGAAAAGGAGAGGAAAATGAGGTATCTTACAAATTTACAAGGCCAGTAAGGGAACCAAAAGCATCTGGCAGTTTCCCGTCGAGATGATTATCATTTAGAGACCTACAAAAAGACAGATCAGAAAAAAAATAGTACAGCAACCTCTCTGCTTAGGAACAGAAATAGGACAATAGTCATACATGTCTGTTAAACTCTGAAGCATTGATAGTGACGTCGGAATGCTTCCAGTGAGCTGGTTATCAGACATAAAACTGCACCAGCAAGGAACATAAGGCATCTCATCACTCAATCACAAGAGCTAAAAAAATTCCAGAAGAGGAAGAATAGCACATACAAATGCTGCAGTGTAACAGGTAGATCTTCTGGTATAGTTCCACCAATATTGTTGTTGCTAAGATTTCTACAATGAAAGAAAAGTAAATAGTCACAAAACCTGACCAGGATACATACGAAAACAACATAACTTCTGCCAATATATAAGTACAGACTTTGAATTTCCTATTGATCTATTAATTACTATGCATGTATAATTAGATGACATGACGATCAAGGATCAATCATGGGCAAAGAGAATAAAATTAACAGTAATACTCTTACATAGTGGTTATTGAAGTGAAGTTCCCCAGGCTGCCTAACTGTCCTTCCAAATTTGCAGCATTGAAAATTCTACAAACAATGAGTTGATAAAAGCACAAAATATAAACACTCGACCAGATAAAGGAAATGCAAATGTACAATGGACGTACATTGAATCTATATTTGAGCCAATACATACAACGCCCTGCCAACCATCACCACAGGGGTCACCACCATTCGCAGTCCATTTAGGAAGAGCCGGTGATCCAAGTGCAACATACAGTCCATTTATAGCAGCAACTGCCCATAAATCAAGCAAAAACAGTCATTAGTAACAAACATAATTATCCCTGACATGGATTCACACCAAATCAACACCATTTTAAGGTACTTAATGAAATGAACCTACATAGTAAGTAGAGTGCAGAGTGTGCAAATGGGCCAGTTAATTCAGGTAAAACAGAACCCAGCATTTCACCAAAAACCAAGGGTGAGAGTGGAAATTAGTCATCATATCACCTTCAGCCGACTTTTTACAACTAAGACCCCTTTTTATGCAAACAGTTTGAAAGGAACTTTTTAATTAAAGATTCATGTAAGCGAGAGTAATAATAAGACCATTTCTCATTCTACCACAACTAGCCTAACTAAATCATCCATCACTTTATCCATCAACCATTGTCGTCAATAATGACGATTACTAATCCAAAGAGAACAGTTCACATAACAATCCTAAAACATCCCTTCAGACCGAAAATAGCAGCTCGATTGCAGCATTTAACCACTTCATTTGCTTCCACAAGCAAAAGCACACGAAAATTCAACCGCCGCATCAAGTCCAGAAGAAGAAGTACCGCAAGATATCCCCTGCCAATCCGCACAATCAAATTGAATCGATCGACCCAACCTAAACCCCCCACACGTTTCTCACCACCCGCCCAATCTCTAGTGCACAGTACAGCACTGCATCGAAATCAATCCCCACCTTGACCTCGCTTCCACCGACAAATCCCATGTTCACCCCGAACAGTACTTAGCTCGAATCATCGCCTCCGCAAACAGTGCAACGACCAACGGCCACCAACCAAAAGCTAGTGCAACACGTACGAGCAAAGCATCCAAGCACGAAGCGCGAGCGCGGAGCACTTACCATCGGCGGCGACGGTGGCCGCGAGCGCCCGCCGGGGCAATGCCGCCGCGGCGATCAGCAGCAGCAGCGGCAGCACGAGCACCGCCGCGGGAGCCCCTCTCCGGAAGCAGCACCTCCCTCCCGCTGCCATCCGCATCGACGCAAACTCTCTCTCTCTCTCTCCCCTCCAGCAATTAATCAGCGCGGCCTCCGCCGAAGCAGCATCAGCCAGATCAACCCGAAGCGATCGCGGAAGAAGAAGGAACCAAACCCCGCGTTCGCAGATCTAGCGTTCGCTCGCTCGCGCGCTCGCGAGAGAGAGATGCCGTGCCGTGCTCCGCACCACCGCCGCCACCACGGGGCTCGCTTCCCGGAGCACGCCGCCGCCGCCGCCGCCGCAGAGGCTTGTGCTTTTGGTGGGCTTCTAGTAGAATCTAGCTGTAAAACTGCAGTCTCCAGAGGAGAGAGAGAGAGAGTGAGAGAGAGAGAGAGAGGAGAGAGAGGAGAGTGAGAGTGGCGGCGAAGTGAGAGAAGAGAATGCGAGGAGGAGGAGCGTGGGAGTGAGCAACGGGCGTGAAAAGGTAGAGAGAGAGAGGGAGAGGGAGTGGGTGAGCGGCGAGCAGCGAGGGGAGAAAGAGAGAGAGAGAAGAAAAGGCGTTTGCGAGAAAGGAGAGGAGAAAAAATCGAGCAGAATAGCAGGGGATATTTGTACTTGTGACTTGTGAGTACAAAATTATTCATCTTTCTAAAAAGTATTATTCATTAGCACATAATTAATTAAGTATTATTCGCTCCGTCCTAGTTTACTAGCCGTTCTAGAAAGGAGATGACAAAATATGGTATTGGAAAAATAACCTACATACCCCTACATTAATCATTTCAATGCTTAAGAATTAACACAAAACTAGTACTGCGTCTGTCATTTCGATATGTCTGCAACAAGTATAGGGAAGAAAATTAATAGAAGTACTCATGCTAGTGGCTAGCATGCTAGCTGCCCCACAGCTAAACGACCTTCTTTCTGGGAAATAACTCTACACCCCAGCGACAACTAAACCGGGACTGATAGAGTAGTATTAAAAAATTAAGAAAATAAATTAATATGATTTTTGAAGTAACTTTTATAAAGAAAATTTCTATAAAAATATACTATTTAGTAAGCATGTTTAGTGGTTTAAAAAACATGTAAAAAAAGAAAGATAGAGTTAAGAAAGTGAACAAAGGAACCGCCATGTGTAGTATTTTCTCCGTTTCATAAAAAAATAAACTAGTATCGAATATGACATATTTTATTAATACGAATCGATACTTTTCGGTTTCCTAGTATTAGGAGTACATTATTTTTTTTTATGGAACGCGAGTAGTGCGAGTGTTCTGCACGCTGCGAGGCATTCAGTGCAGGGGAGGGGTCGTGTGGGGCCCATGATGACGTGGGTCTCGGCTGGGCTGGATTGGGAGGGTGTGTGGGGCCAGCGCTGACGTGGAGCTCTCGTGGGGTGGGCTCCTGGATTCGTTTTTCATTTGGCGTTTTGGCTTTTTGTCCCTGGGAAGAGTTGTTTGGGCACACGAAAAAGGAAGAGATTGCAGCTTTGGATGCCGTTATGTATATCCATGTACGTTTGCAACTTTGCATTGCACCCAAATGTCTTGTGCTTGTTGTGCATGCCTTCACGAAAGGCACTTCCTTTTCAAAACTTTTGAACAAAGTAGCTAGAAAAAAAGTGTGTTGCTCAAAGGTGGTTTAGATATTTTGTGTTGAGGATTGATATGAATTTGTGATACAAAAGGATATACTTAGCCCATCGATCCACCTGTAACTCGAATTTATCGAAACATGATTCTAATTTTGGTAGTAACAATTTAACAAACATCCTACAAGAGTATTATAATATAATTAACCTATCACTCAGTGACGAACACACCCATTAGGCAGGGTGGGTCGGCCGGCCCAACTACGATCTGTGTCGTCCCACACCCCGAAACCTTATTTTAGTCCTATTTCCAACATTAGTCATTAGTCTACTATTGAATAATCAGATAAATCAAGTATTTTAAGTAGGAACAAAAACATTTATGAAAATTCGTGTATAAGTAATACCATTTTGATCGTTTCTGATTTTGGCCGTACATAAAATTCTATTTTCTTTCTATTTCTTTAGTGCATAATACAGTCTACAGTAAATAGGTAAATATATTAAAAAAATCCATTTTACTCACTTGAACTATTTTGACGAAGCACTTAAACCCCTAAATAATTTTTCATCTCGTTTTATACCCCCGAACTATTGAAAGTGGTTCCCCTTGTTGTCTAACAGCATTTCTCATTTTCTTTTATCTCTCTACATATAAGTCATATACGTTTGTTCGACTACCAATCCTCGTTGTTAACTTTCTCGATGTTCGTGCCGTGCATTGTTGCGCCAATGCCGTGAACCAGCGACTAAGATTTGTGTGTGTTGTGCCATCACCTAATTAGGGCTAGCTCTACCGTCCCATCTATATTTTAAACATGCGTCCATCACTGCTATATCACTTGATATCAATTAAACTCCACGAGAAGAAGGAGAGCTATCCTCACAGAAAGAAAGAGAGAGGGAGAGAAAGAAGAACTATAAAGCAAAGGAACATGACAGGAGCTAGGAGACACCGAATTTCATTGCCTTAGCCGTCAAGCACCTGGCAATTTTCCAACAAACCAAAGCGTCAAAAACCTAATAAAACCATTGATTCGACAATGACATCCATGCCAAGTCACAATCTTGTCCTTCAAAAAAAGAGGAAGCTTGAAGCACATAAAACCCATGCTTTTAGTGAGAGCATCACTTGGAAGGGGACAAGTTAAGAGCAATCCTTATCCTTCAAACCTGAGGCCTGCAAATCAAATGGCCCCACGTCAATTAGCCAGCCGCCATGACAGTATATATACTTGTTGAAAGCGCATTGGGTCAATATAATGGTGATTGGAGAATGCAATAGTTAATTAATGACAGTACTTATCACTTACTCATATATATCTCGTGTGTCCTGGGAAGCAAACAAAACAATATTTGCTATGTCAATTAAGATCTATCATTATGTTGATTATTACTGCCACGAGGGTGAAAGGAAGCTCTCTCTTTCATGTTGCTCAGGTTAATTTTGGTTTACTCTCTGACAGATTAGTTTAGTTTGACCTTAACAGATCAATTATTGTCGAATAATACGTAAATACGATAGCATGTAGTGGTGAAAACGGATCCCATCCACTTTGAATCCATCCGAAACAAAGGATATTGGTACGGGTGTGGTTAATGGGCGATCGATCCTCTATACACTCTCTCTCCCCCTTCCTCCTCCCCTTCTTCTCTTCCTACTACACCATATAACTTTTTTAAAAAAAAACAAAGTTAGAAAAAATTATGTATAGAAATACTATATAAAAAAATATTTGAATTCAAATTCAAATTTGAAACGGGTACATAAACTTTTGACTTATAAACTTTAGGTCTATAAACTAATATTTGAATTCAAATTCAAACTTAAATCGGGTATGTAAACTTTTGACTTATAAACTTTGGGTCTATAAACTTTAGGTGTATAATTTTTAGATGTATAGAAATACTATATATAAAAAATATTTGAATTCAAATTCAAATTTGAATCGGATATATAAACTTGACTTGTAAACTTTGGGTCTCTAAACTTTAGGTGCATAAACTTTAGATGTGAAAACTTGATGTGTACAAACTTTAGGTGTATAAATTTACTAAAATAGTGAAGTAATGCGGTGCAAAAAAGGAAACCACATGGAGGAGGGGGTGATCGATGTGGGGAGGGGGACTGATCGCTTGGAGCGATCGATCGCCCCTTAGGACTTTCGTATTGGTACGGGTTTTAAGAAATCTAACGGATATAGTTGCAAATACAGATAGTATAATGTGGATATGGATGCAAACGTGGTATCTCTAAAATTCAACGGATGTGAATTATCCGATATATCTATCAGATTATCTAATAAGCCGTTTGTTGAATAATCCAGAATTATCAATCTATGTAATCACTCTATCCATTGCATGTGACATGAGCCAGACTATCCAATGATCTGATTCATCAATTAACCTAGATTTTTTAGTTTGGGGCTTTCATCATCTCATTTCACACTTGCATTGCTGTATTTTTATATTATGTATACATTGTATACATATTATTTAGCACTTAAGTATATAATTATTACGATAGGTCATTTATTGATCATTTTATTGTTGTCCCATTGCTAACTCGATGTTATATTGATTGCAATAATGTAACGTCCAACAGATTTAATCTGTTTCTAAATTGAGTCCACACCATTTCTGACATCCGAAAAAATCTGCCTTATATCCATATCCGCTAAAAATATACTTAACCGTCCCATAAAAAACCAACCTAGTACTGGATGTGACACATCCAGATTTATTGTACTAGAATATTGTACTAGAATATGTCACATCTAGTTCTAGATTTATTTTTCTGGGACGGATGGAGTATGGTTCAAGATATAGTATACCTATATCTTATCCGTTTTCATCCCTAATAGAATCATAGTATGCCGGCGTTAATTGCTGGGTTCATTCAAAGAGATCTTTCGGTGCATCATGGGAAGTTGGGTATACCGAACTAAGCTAAGTGCATTTAAACAGGATGGACAAACAAAAACAGACGAGATCAACTTTAGCCACAAGGATCAGAGGGAATGCTTAGCATCACCACCAAGTTGTCATGATGATTTCAACGATTCGTCCCGTCATGGGCCTGCTGCTGACGTCACTATCCTAACCTAACACGTCAGACTACCAAAACGGGTCAATGATTAACGAGAATTCGATCCATTGATTCATTATCGTACCACCAAGAGAAACGATTACACCCTCCTAATTATATAATCATTATCTGACCGGGAATGAAAATGGTCATACACGATGTCATATCTAGTGATTTTTTTCATATTTATCAATTTATTTATTTAGCGGTGATATTAATATGATTCTAACAGAAACTTAAAAAATCAAAATTTTATAGGACTATAATAAAATTCAGTCGAAAACGGTACGACCAGTTATATAAATGATACTCGATCACCGGAAATTTACATCACCGTATGTCCGTTTGTACTTCTAGTAGAGACCACCGGAAAAGCACTCCTGATAATTCAGGAGTATAGCAGTTTATGTAGCTAGTAGAAAGATTCTAGTCAAGCTAAACAATGGAAAAGGGGGTGTAAAAGGTGAGAACAAAAGGAGGAAAAAGGCCGGCATAAAACAGAAGAGAACCTACTCTCCTTTCGGCTACTTGACTTTCTAGGACCAGATAATTCTTGGATAGCTACTTTGTATCCTAGAGGATACTATAGCATTTATTATGTAGTACTCCATTCATTCCAAAATAAACCAACATCTTATAAGATGTGGCACATCCTGATACAATGAATCTGGACATAATCATACAAGATGTGTCGTATTCGGTACGAGATTGATTTATTTAACTGCCCACTGAAATGGAGGTTCATAAAATCCGAGTTGGCAAAAGTAATCGTATAAAAAAAAATTACTGTGAAAGTAGATCAGTCATCTGAACCAAAGGAGTTGCAATGTACAAATTGCTAAATGAAATTCTACATTTTTTACAGAAGTTGTATGATAAGTTCACCGGACCATAGCTCATTATTATCCTGAAGAACTGAACAACTGAAGTGGCCAAGTTCAGGAATTTTTCCCTAGACAAATTCCATTGGATGGGCCTTAGCTTAGACAGATTCCATTGGATGGGCCCAGCTACGAATTTTTCGTATACGCAACAATTTTTTTTAGCTCAATTATACACAATTGAGATAGGATGTGAATAGCATACTAGCTAGCTAGGCCCACAACCACTAGTTGTTCAGCAAGCAATATCATCAAACAATGTCTGTAAATCTGTAAATAACTCTCATGTGGTACAAAATTAACTCCAAAGTGTAAATTATGTACTCCCTCCGTTTCAGGTTATAAAACGTTTTAACTTTGGTCAAAGTCAAACTATTTTAAAACGTTTGGTTAAAGTCAAACTATTTTAAGTTTGACTAATTTTATAGAAAAAGTAGTAATATTTTTAACCCAAGACAAATATATTATAAAAAATTATTCAATTATAGATTTAATGAAACTATGCTGGTGTTGTAAATATTACTATTTTTTTTCTATAGAGTTAGTTAAATTTATAGTAGTTTGACTTTGACTAAAGCCAAAACATCTTATAATCTGAAACGGAGGGAGTAACTGAAAAGTAATCTGCCAAGCAGGTGAAGAAAGGGAGCATCTATGATGCTCAATTGTTGATCACGTATAGAAGTCATTAGAAGAATGAATTCAGTCATTTGCTGACCATGCATCAGACCTAAAATTCAACCGTACAGTACAGATCTCTCCTCGCTCCCCTAACTGTAAAACCTCTTCTACTTGACTACTTCCCAAATTTTCTCTAATTTCAATATCGTTTTCTTTTCTGAACTGCCAATTTCAATCTCTTTAGTGAAGTTCAAATATTCCGATGGCCTTTTTCTTTAAAAAAAACCTGTTTCTGAACGGCTTCGAATATTCCGACTGAAGAGCAAATCCGATGATTTTTTTTCCTTCCCAATCCTATCAAATAAATTACGAATAATTTCTTCCTCCACCTATCTTATAGTACTGCAGTTAGTAATTCTCCATACACAACATTGGTAGTACCCCATCCGTTTTAGATTATAAGTCATTTTAACTTTAGTGAAAATCAAACAACTTTATGTTTGACTAAGTTTATAGACAAATATAATATTATTTATTTACAACATCAAATTAGTTTCATTAAATCAATAATCGAATATGTTTTCATAATATGTTTGTCTTGGATTAAAAAATATTTTTTCTATAAACCTGATCAAACTTGATATAATTTGAATTTAACCAAAAGTCAAAAACAACTTGTAATCAGAAACGCAGGAGTATAGATCACAAACTGCCAGTGTTACAAATTTATCACAAATTCGAGCAGTTCCATGCACGTTGTTAGTTACACGTATCCCTCTTGCGTTTCGCGCCAAGCGTGCCAAGAAGATCACGCCTGACCACCGCCCGAGAAGCGGCGCCGTCGTTCGACGTCTCCGGCGCCGCCGCCGCCGCCGGGAAGAAAGCGCCGTCGTCGTCGACGGCTGCGGCTACCTCCTCCTCTTCCTTAACGACTGCATCGTGATGATGCGGGCCACTGCTAGGCGCATCGCAACAGTAGCCGCCGCCGGCCGCCGGCTTGTACTCCGGCGGCGCGCCGTCGCCGTCGCCGTCGCCATCCAGGGCGGCGCCGCCGCGCCGCCGCGCCAGCTTGGCCTCCCAGCGAGCGCGGACCGCCGCGAGGACGCCGGCCAGCTCAACGCCGTCGCCGACGCCCTGGGCGACGAGGTCGCCGTGGACCTCGCCGACGACGTGGTCCATGACGGCGGTGTACACCGCGGCGACGTCGTCGCTGTCCTTCTTCTTAGCCATGGCGGCGATCGACGCGCGTACGTATGTGTACGTATATATACGCCCCTGTAGAGAGTATTTATACCTCGAGATATACCGTTATATTATGCTAGTAAATCGTATTCGGATGGGATAACGATTTTTACGCGTACGTGAAACGTGATAATCACGTATACTACGTTTTTACACAAAAATAAATAATAAATAAATATACAAATAATCAGTATCCAACCAATTTGTTGTTGGGCTTGGGCCTCGGCCCAGGAAGAGACAGATTTGCACGGGACACGTGTCATACTCTTATAGGCTGGACATCGAGGAAGGCGTCTATAAAACACGGGGCGCTTCAGAACCCTAAACCCATCAGTCCCACCTGTCTCTCGCCGCCGCCGCAGCACAAGCGCATTCAGATCTCGGTCGCTTGGTTTTCCTTCTTGATTTCCTCTCCGAGTGGTAATTGCTTCCGTGTTTTTCTCTCTTTTTTTTTTCTCGTTGAACGATTGATTTGCTTTTGCTTCCATTTTGTTTGTTTGAAGATTTCAATTCATCGCATCGTTGATATAGTTTTTGAATCGTGTTTGGGATGCAAATGATTTGGTGGTGAGAATAATAGGGCTCTATATTATGAGTCAACAGCAGGCGCCGTTTCAATGGTGCCCTGTCTGCCGCTTGGAGCCCAGATCGATGCCTAAGCCAGGAGAAGATTGTTTGGAGATCCATCTTCTTTAGTTCCAAGCCACAATACCTGGCCACAAACCCAAATCATCCCCCAATCGAAAACATCGCCTTCTTTTCTTCAGTTCTTGCTGTTTTTTTGTATGGTGATTTGTATGTTTTGGACGGCTCTCAGACGAACGGGTGCTCTGCCGATCTATTCCATGGGCGAGCCACCCTTTGCAGAAGTGCCGAGAGAGACGCAGGCCGCTAACACGATTGGGTGTTTCCTTTCTAGATCCATCCAAATTTCAAGCGGAAATATTGTATCTGTATCCCATAGATCTGTCCGGTTTTTCATTAATTCGCTCGCTTTGGTGTTTCAATCGATTGCTTGTTTTTGCTGTCAGTCACTGCGGATCGAAAAAACTTGTGCAACTGAGGGACTAATCTAGGCGGATGATTTCTGTAAAACTCTAATGGACAATGGGTACTCCATATAAAATATGCCCATCTTAAAAATATTTCTTGTTGATCGGATGGACACTTAGGGAGTTAGGGTGCGTTCGTTCCATGGACAATGATGAGTGAGATAGCACATCGATGCGTTTTTTGCAATTTTTTTTTAAAAAATCATATTAATCTATTTTTACACTTTAAAGTAGTTAATACTTAATTAATCATATTCTAATAGCTTATCTTTTTTTTGCATATCTTTCCAATCTTCTCGATATTCGAACTCACCCTTAGCATGGACGAGTACTGTACACGGCTCCATAGTTCATCAAGCGAATGAAACAATTCTTTATTCTCGCGTTAAACCATTATTAAAGTTCAAACTTGAAATCTGTAAGTTCGTTAAAAAAACTGAAATCTCTAAGCGTTAACCCTATTTTCTATTTTCGTAATAGTAGTAACTAAAGCAAGGCATTGTTTAGATCGTCTTTCACCTGCCATTGTCTGTTGATTTGAGGTTGTCCTGCCACTTTTCTGTGTCAACATTACTCGGATCATTCTACGGTTTCATTTGTGGATTTGAGATTATCAGAGATCGACACAAGAGAAGAATCCACTGAATTCCAAAGACGAGTAAGGTGCAACTTTTTGCAGTAAAACACATCAGGCACAACAGACCACAGTTCCAGAACAGCAGTTGACAGATACAAAACAACTGAAGGTAAATCAACAGTAAAATGAGCGAAACACCAAAGCTAACGGAACGTTTATTCACACAATGGTGTTCTTATCTGATAAGGGGACCAAACTGTCATGACAGTGCGGTAACTTCAGTTATCTTAACACAAACAGCAGACAGCATGAGAGCAACACAACATCATAAAGTTCTTATCAGACATGTGTCATAGTAACCCAACATAATCACACAATGGACAACCTTTCAGCTCACCACACCATAATGATACATTATGGGAGTAGCATTTTATATGTACATGTCTAGAAGTTCATCCTACAAAGGGGGGCAGCAGAAGAAGAAATAGACAAGATGAAAATGAGAAATGGTGTTCGCCATTGGACGTGATGAGATGAACCAAGTCGGCGTATGATACACCTCTTTCTTTAGATCGGCGGGATGTTCGAAAACGAGAAGCCCTTGTACCCTTTGTAAGCATAGTAGGCAATTCTTGTGTAGTAGAACCCAGGGATGAACATCACAATACCCAGAATCATGAAGAAGATTCCTGTTCCAACAAAAGGGAAATGGCTTCAGGTAAAGAAAGAATAAAGTTTCAACAGCAAAGGTTCTATCTTCTATGCAAGGGGAACCCTACCTATTGTATGCTAAACAAATGTTATGTTACCAAACATAAAACTTGATGACTGAATCACTTTGTGCCCACCCACTTAAAAATGTTAAAAGTTTTTTTAGCCTATAAAGTTGTCAAACTAGAGAACCCATTCGAATCTTAAACACTACTCCAGCAGTCAAGCCCTGTTGCTTCCAGTGATTGCTATCTGGAGCTTTTGGATATAAAATGCCAGTATATTACAAAAACTTGATACATGAATGAATGTAATTGACAACAAACTAGTAGCATTAAAATAAATGTATGTTCTACGAACTGTCACCAAATTGCAATGCATACATAAAGTACATTATTTCCCCCAATTGCCACCCAGCTGTAGTAAAATGCATGTGGTTGACCAAGTCAAAATCAAATGAGAATACCAGAAGTAAATTACTAATAATAATAAATTTCCTCTGAGAAATTACCAAAATGGATGATTGCGCAGTCAAACAATAACCCCCTTAATTTCATCCTCACAACCCAATGCACTGAAGCCAAACCACACCCCCCAAGCTAGAATCCCGCAAGATCTCTACTACCACAGCATCAATTGGGGGGAAATTGTATGGAAGCCCAGGCCCTAGACGCGCGAATTAAGAGGAGGGCGCTCACCGTGCGCGCGGTCGCCGCCGACGTTGTTGGCGGCCATGAGGACGCCACCGATGGCGCCGAGCGCGCCGAACGCGAGGAGCGCGGCCGCGAAGGCGATCTCCTTGACGGGCGCGCCGCGGGGGCCCCCCACGGCGCCGCCGACGAGGTCGTCCTCGTCGGAGATGGAGAAGGCGTGGTCCACGTACGCCATAGCTCCCCCCCACCACCACACCTCCGCTCCGCCCCCCGGATCCGATCCGCCCGCACCTGGCGCTTGCCAACGCGGCGGCTGCTACGCCTCCTCCTCGCCTCCTCGCCGCCGCCGCCGCCGCGCCGAGGGTTTGGTCGCGTGGGTGTGGGTAGGGTTGGATGGATGTGGAGAGAGAGAGATTGATGAGAGAGAAAAAGGGTGAGGAGGTGGATGCGGGTACAAGCAAGGTGGAGGAGAAGACGAGAGGAGGAGGGCGAGAAAACAAGCGGCGGCTTTGGTGTTGGTGGACGTCGTGTGTGTACGGGTCAACCTGCCTGGTTGGGCTGTGGCCAGTGGATGCTGGGCCTATATTTTTCGGCCCATGAAGGAATATATTTGGGCCCTGGTTGGGCTAGATTGTTCGGCCTACGAGGAAAATATTTGGGCGTTGTGTTCTTTTTTTTCTAAGTTCATTTCTTGGCTCCTCATGACGTTAAGTTTGAATGGTGTTCTTGAACGACAATATCAGTTATAACGTGCTCCTCAACTTGTAAAACTGGTGTAATTGAGGTTCTAGAGCAGTATTGTACTAGATTGTGGTTAACATGGATAATTGACCATGTTTAACCTGGCGGAGCCAACAACAAACCCCACATGTAAACGGCCGGCGCTTTCCTCTTCCTCTCTTCCCATCTCCCCTCTCTTTTCCCCATATTCTCCAAGGGGGTGCCCTGCGGTCTGCACCAAAGACCCAATCCATGGCCAGTTGTTGTAGTACATTGGGTTGCATACAGCTAAGGCACTTGGTCGGTGCCTTGGCGGACTTCTCGGTGAGGTCGAAAATGGGCATGATGGGGAGTGTCGGCGCGAACCATGCAACGAAGGTGAAGAACTCGCACATGGGGCACCACCAGGACGTGCTGGCCGGCCCACTCCTCCGACGATGTGCAGAGGTGAATGAGAAGGTAGATGGCCCCGCCCATGGACTCCCCAAACAAGAAGCCTAACGGCTTTCACGTGCTCCGCCCGTAACTTGATGAAGCGGAAGAAGGTGAGAAGGTCGGCTATCATTAAATCGAGCTCAGGGACGAACAAGCGGAGCCCCCTAGCTCCTCTCCCATCGGCCGATGCCCTTCTTCCCGCCACGTGCTACCCTTTACTGTATCGGTTGTCGCTTTGGAGAAGATGGGGAGGATAGGTGAAGAGAGATGGAAGAAGACTTAGCCACTGACATGTGGGTCCCATGCTAACTCGGCTGGGTTGACTGTATTCAACTCACCATGTTAGCTAAAACCTGACAAAATACTGTCCTAGGACCTCGAGTGATCCGATTTTATAAGTTGAGGTAAACGTTACATCTGGTGTTACAATTCAAGCATGTGATTCAAACTCGACGTCAAGATAAGAGACCTAATGTGAACTTATTCCTTTTCCTTTTCAACCATGTCTAGCATGGCCTGCTATGCTAGCCTGCCAGGAGCAGTTTGGTCTGTCACGGCAAGGCTGCAATATAGTTGGTATTCTGAGTATTTGCTTTCGTATTTCTTTTCTTTAGAAGATAGGGAATTATTAATACAATACATTTGCTTCAAACATGCATCGTCGTGGGAGGGCCCTAGGCATTACAATATTTCCATTATGATGTAGCCATGTCATTAGGTGGTGCTTGGACACAATAACTTGCACACAATAAGATGTAATAAACCTAAGATACCTAGAAAGTGCATGGTTTATACTTCTTATTTGTCCTAACTAAAGTACAATGAGAGCAAAGCTAGCTCTCAAGTGCATGTTTGCTTCATTTTCTCTTTGAAAATAAAAATGAAAAGGTAAAACCAGCATCATTATTATTGGTGCTAGGTGTGTAAGAATGTAGAACTAGTAAAAGGTTGATGGTGTAGTCTATAGTGGGCATGCAAGAAAAGGAAGTAAAAAAAGGGAGGCCGCAAAGGGAAATGGCTTTACTTATTAGCCACGGCAAAAATTGTTGCTAGCTAGCTGCCCTCTTGCATATGCCTCTTCGCAGAAAATGTACAAAAATACCATATTAATTGGGTGGGGGGCACTCTTCCGCCCCATAAAAAAAATCTGGTATAAGATATGATATTGTCTGATACATTATAGTAATATTAATTATAAATCTAGATTAGCTGTTTATCTAAATTCATAATGATATATCGTATTATATTTGTTTTTTATAGAACGAGATAACTATTTATCTAAATTCATAGGATACATCATGTCTTGTATTATATTTACTTTTTTTTATGGAGAGTACATGCGTGCGTGCATACGCGAGTGGGCGTCCAATTAATACTACGTGTGCTGTTTGATCAAGCTGAACTGAAGCACATTAAACCTCAACTACGCGCCCACGTAGGCCATAAATGTGAAGACATAATGTAGGTGATGGTCGTCTGAACTGTTGTACTCCATGTTCTTACACACATTTATAGATAAACCGTGAAAAAGAAAAAGACAAAGCAATTTTTATTGACAATAACTTTATACCTATATTAATATCAGAAATTTAAAAGCCAATTCTAAAAAATAGACCACAATTAAAAAATATATATCCAAAAATCAACTTCAGAAATTAAGTTTCAAGTTTAAATTTTATCTGTGACTGTGGTTGATAAACTACCAAATGATGAGAGGCTTAGAAGATAGGAGAATCAATATTTTATCTTTATAAAAATATGAGAAAAGAGAATATCGTGTTAATTCCGAGACATGAAGTTTATAGCTGGTTGAAGATTGAACCCGAGATCTTGAGGTTGAAATCACACATTACTTACCACTGTACTATCAAGTGCATCTCTAATTAACCTTCTTATGTGTGCATATGAAACTATTGAGAATATATTTGACGACAAACTATTAGCCACAGTTTAATTAGCAATAAAAACTTCTATTAAAAAATAAAAATACACCTTGCAATTTAACTAAAACAACTTTTATATAATCATGATCAGATGGACCATGTGGACTTAAATGGCAGCATTTTTAGGGACATATATGATGGGGTTGGAAGCCTGCCGCTCATCTTTTCTGCCACCCGCTAGCTTATTGTCCAGGGAGAAATGCAGGGACAGCAGCAGTACTGTTAGTTCACCATGGACAGTATCATTGAATCCCCTCTTGCAAATTGCAATGGCCCGGCCCCACACACACAAAATTTTCAGATCTGAGTGGCATTAACCATGCAGCTTTCCTCCCCAGATCTGGAGTAGTATGTTCTGCCACTGCTGCATGCCTCCTCTCCTCTCCTCTGCATGGATTGCTCTCTGCCTCATGCATATATGCATCCCTTTTTAGGTATCAAAAGGACCAGCCAGGTACACCAAGGGGGGGGTCACCCTTTGGAAGCTCTGCACAGTGCACACTCTCCTTTCCCCTCCAGCCATTACCTGCTCTCTATCTCCCTCTCAATCAGCTGACCCTGCATTCCCTATTAGCATCTCCGGACGACTGTGTCGATATCTCTTGATATTAACGAAGTTATTACGGACGTCCCGCTGCCGACGGGTATGTACGTCGGTTACCACTGAAAAAATAAATAGTCGTAAAAGCGAGCATCCGGTCAAATCTAGGACCTGAATCCGGATGGATTGATTCCACCAAAAGAAATCTAACTAGTTGAGTTACGCTCATTTCGCACCATGCATCTACTAGTATTTAACTAATAAGCATGCAACATTCATGAATTTGCAGAGTGAGAGAAAGGGAGGTATTTTAGATTATTTACTGAATTATTAAAAAATAATAATCAATTTTCGATTTTTTCAGATTATTTACTTCAAATTAACTTAAAATAAGCGATCTAAGCAATAGTACACGTTTCGAAAAATTCGTTTTCTCAAAAAAGTTATCTTCTAATACATTGCCAAGGTCATTTGTTTTTAAGTTATTTGTTAAGTTAATTTTTAAAATATTTAAAACATTCCATATATAAAATAAGTAGATAATCTACTAGAATAATCCACTCAATAACCTAAATCAAATGGTGTCTTAGTTGGCTTTTTTTTTAGTTTAAGCTCTAAGCTAGAGCCACACGCTTGGGATGGAGAAATTATTTTTTGAGAAATTGAACTAAATCCCTGTAAAATTCCCGAAAGGAGGTCTCAAAATGAAGTAAGGAAAGAAATAATATTGCTCAACTTTTGCACATACAGTATATATTATGCAATGCAAGCACAATATTCCTTGTCAAAGTAAGTAATGGCATGATCAATCGAGTGATGAGTGATGACCATTCAATTGGTACCTGAATTAGCTGAACATCCAGTCAGCTAGCTAGCTAGGGGGTAATGATATAATAATGAACTACATTTACAGTTTGTTATTCAAATAACCCCCTGTAGTAAAAAAACTAGATTAAAGTAAGCTAATTAAGCTAAACTAGGAGTAATTAATTACTAAACTAAACCGTCTCTCGTTGCAAGCAACCAACACCACTCCATGGCCATGCACGTATGTACGTATAGCCAGAGTATTTTAGGCCACTCGCCATGGACAGCTTCAAGCTCAGACGAGACCAACAATGGTGGATACATGGATCAGCCCACGACGTGCACGCCGATCTTCTTGCCGTCCAGCGGCGGCCGGCACGGCACCGGCCGCCGTGGGACGAACACCTTGGCGAGATCGTCCGGCACGGCGACGAACGCCGCCGCCGCCGGCGCCCTCCCGCCGCGGCGCCGCCCGCAGCAGTAGCAGCTGCGGCTAAAGCGAGCGTCCTTCTTCCTCCTCTTGGCGGCTGGCCTCGGCGGCTTCCTCGGCGCCGGCGGGCACACCGACGGCGCCCGCAGCACGCTCGCCGCCGCCGTCGGCGTGCTGCACAGCACCACCTCCTCGAACTCCGGCATCTCCGCCGCCGCCGCCGCCGCCGTGGTGCGGATCGGCGGGAGCTGAGCGGACAGCAGGTCGAGCTCGAGGCCCATGTGTGTGTCACACAAGATCGAAGAGAAGCTTAGATAGGAGGCAAGAAGAAGCAAGGTAGGGTTGCTCGAGCTCTACTTAAGTAGCTCGCCGCCATGGCGAGTGAGCGATGGAGGAGGGAAGCAGCGGCAATGGTGGGGTAAAGAGGGGTGGATGGATGCGGGGAGCAGGCGTGGAGAGGATGGCAGTGATGATGATGGCAAAGGTGGCGATCCAGAGAGAGAGAGAGAGTTCTATGGAGACAGACTGCAGGCAGGTGCAAAAGGTTAGAGAGAGAAGAGAGAGGGGGAGCTAGAGATAGAGGTGATACTGATGATTGTGAGAGGAATGAAGTGGGGGGCTGGATGATGATGGTGATTAAGCTTTGGGCTTTGGGGGTGATCAGATTTAAGCTGTCTAGGTTGGAGTGTGTTAATAATTAGGTTTTGTTAGTTTAGTAGTACTCAGCTTTAAACTAAGTTGGATCTTGCCTTAATTAAGTCACCAATGTAGGGTGAATATGTGAAATTAAGTGTGTGATCCAGATCATGAGTATAGTGCATTTTTGTGAGACCATGAAAGTTTAAGGGTGTGCTTGAGAAGAGGAGAAAGGAAGAGCCTAATATGTCATTTTTTAAAATTGTAAAATGGACTAATATGATTTTAGAAACAACTTTTCTATAATATTATACTGTTTAACAGTCCGAGAAGCGTGCAAACGGATAACAAGATATTTCTTCTGCAAACGAATATAGCCCGATTGTCCCTCGAGGGATGTCCTCTTGTTTTATATATCATAAATCTAAAAATATTTAATAAGATGAATTAATATAACATATATCACTCCACGATCATACATGTTTAATTTCAACTAATACAAGTTAAAAGAAACAATAAGTTCGAGTGTCAATTGTATGTACTAGTTCATGGTAAGACCACCCGAATCAGCAGTCGATCCAATGTATGGCGACCTTGAGCAGTTGCCCGGGTTAGTTGGCACGGCCAAAGGACGGGAAAATTGCATTATCAGTGTTTGACGATCCCAACATCTAGCCATTTTGTGAACGTTTTTATGCTCTATGAAATTTCTAGGTCCACCATGCCTTTAGGCTGTGTTCTCGGCCGCTGTTGGCTGTGAAACAAGTCATTAGTACTCCGTTTCAGGTTACAAGACGTTTCAACTTTAGTCAAAGTCAAACTACTTTAAGTTTAACTAAATTTATAGAAAATAGTAGTAACTTTTTAACCTAAGACAAATTTATTATAAAAATATATTCAATTATTCATGTGATGAAACTAATTTAGTATTATAAATATTACTATATTTGTCAGTAAACTTAATCAAACTTGAAACAGTTTGACTCTTACCAAAGTCAAAACGTCATATAACCTGAAACGGAGGGAGTATATGATTAATTGAGTACAAATTATTATAAACTTAGAAAATAAGTTCAATTGAGTTTTGGAAAGAAACTTCTACATACATAGTTTTGTAAAGAAAATTGTTTAGCAGTTTAGTAAGCATGATAATGGATAACAAGAAAGTTACCACTACCATTTGCTCAAATGAACAGTCCCTAAGTGGAAAAAAAAACTATGGTTTCATGGCCTATATATCGTTATTTTCTGATTAAGATGTAGATTCTATCTCGATTTTTTTAGTATGTTTTCAAACCGTCAAACACTGTGTATCGTGTAAAAATTTTTTATATAGAAACTACTCTACAATATCAAATAAACTAATTTTTTATTATAATAATGAAAACCCGCGTTGCCTCCATTGTAGCATAATATAACCACATGGGCCCGGCAACGTATTTTCTCAACCAATTCTCTCCCTGGACCACTGTCAGGTGTGGGCCCAATCCCAAGGCTACGTAGGGCCATATCCGAATTATTTTTATGTACATGCCGGCCGTCACGCATGAAGCACGCGCAATATATATGTCGATACTCGATACAATATGTCATTTTCCCCCATAATTAAGATGATAAGTATAGTATGTTCAAAGAAAATGGTCCGGAAAAAAAATCTAAAACAAACGGTTAACACAGAATTAATGAGCAAAACCAGATTAATTAATGCGTGTGTGTTATATTGTTATATATTAGTATCATGCTCCTGTATTTTACAAACTTACTCCCTTAGTTTTAAAATGTTTGACACCGTTGACTTTTTAAGTACGTGTTTGACCATTCGTCTTATTCAAAAAATTTAAGCAATTATTTATTCTTTTCATATCATTTGATTTATTGTTAAATATACTTTCATGTACACATATAGTTTTATATATTTCATAATTTTTTTTAATAAGACGAATGGTCAAACATGTGTTAAAAAGTCAACGGTGTCAAATATTTTGAAACGGAGGGAGTAATTTGTTTTGAAACCAAATTAAAATTCGGTGTGTGGTGGATCCAAGAAAGCCAAAACATTTTTCCTATTTTGCGAGGAGAAAATCCAAAACTTGACTTGCATTTATGATCGATGTTCGTTATTAGTTGCAACATAAAAAAAATCTGCGTGTCTTGCAAGCATGCGCGTTCCCGGCCAATTAATATACTTGAAGAAAAATACTCTAGAAATTAATGCTGGTGTATGGAGCGGCTCTGACAAGCACGTGTAGCGATATATGTTACTCATACATTATAAGGTGATTTTAATGCTTTCTGAACTTATAAAGAGTAGTAGGAGTAAAATCTCCGTACGCATGTTAGGGTCTATTTAGCAAAATTTTTCGCCATGTCATATCGAATATCAAATATTTGAACAAATGTATAGTGTATTAAATATAGGAAAAAAACTAATTATACATATTGTGTGTAAATTGTGAGACAAATCTTTTAAGCCTAATTGCTCCATGATCTAACAATGTGGTGCTATAGTAAACATTTGCTAATGACGAATTAATTATGCTTAATAAATTCGTCTTGCAATTTACATGCGGAATCTGTAATTTGTTTTGTTATTAGTCTATGTTTAATACTTCAAATGTGTGCCCGTATATTCGATGTCACACGTCAAAACTTTTCACCCCTGGATCTAAGCACAACATTAGTGATCTAAAATCAGATAAAACATATCTTATTATTGTGAAAATCAGATAGGAGGTTTGTTCAGGTTTTAAAGATTCGTAATACATGATTAAAAGTTTTATCCATAATTTTTCTATGGCTTATCATATTTTCAATGCATGAGAACGTCTCAAAAACCCATATTTTGATCATTTGATCCGGATGTTTAGAGCTACTGCTAGCTCTATCACCACTTCACCAGGAGATATCATGTCCGTACACCGGGAGACACGCATACGCATATGCTCCATCCAGTGCGAGATCCAAGAACCAACCATCTACTGGAGCAGTACGTAGTACGATTGTGCTTAATTAATCTAAGCACCCCGAGTTAGATGCAATACGTCGATACGACCGATGCTAATCTGCCTCGCTATTAGCAACAGGAGTACTGCTGATCAGTACGATCTCGATCCCGGTAATGGAAAGCGACCAAGTCATGTAACTAGTACTACAAGTAATATTTTCATGGCTGCTTGCATGTAATGTAAAGGGGAAAGGGCAATGCAGGGAGCACGCAAACTAAGCACCATGATTTGGGTGGGAGCACGGGCATGTGGCCTACTTATTGTGTGGCTCGGCGACATGCTTAGATTACTCCTCCGTAAACAAATGAAAAAGGGGGTGTTTTTTTTTTTTAAGAATAGCTACTTTAGTCCCTAAAGTTTCTCTGTAGGATCTGTTTAGTCCCTAACCTTATAAATGGTCCAAAGAAATCCTTAAACTTTATCATAAGGCCTAGAATAGTCTTTGGGTCCACCAAAATCATCATATGAATATGCTATATCATCATTCATGCAAAATCTATGATGAATTGTCCAATCTACCCTTACATATATCATAAAAAAAATATAAGGGTGAATTAGACATAACCATAGGAAAAAAATACTTCTTTTTTTCACCCTTCTGAGGTATATTTTTTCTCTTACATATACCATATATTTTTGTAACTTTTTTCCTTTTGTTTTTTTATCTTCCTATGCAAAGGGTAAATTGGACAAATCATATAGATTTTGTATGGGAAGGTGACATGGCATGTCCATATGGCGATTCTGGTGGGACCAAGAACTATATTAGCCCACATGACAAATTTAAAGGACTTGTTTGGATAATATGAAAGATTAAGGACTAAAATGACCCAGGAGCGAAACTTTAGGGACTATATTAGCTATTCTCCCTTTTTTTCCAAGCATAGCATGCATTGCCTTGCTATCTTTTCTTTTCTTTTTTTTGGTGAAAGGTCATATTTGACTCCTTAAAGCATTAGGGTGTGTTTGAGAAGGAGGGGATTGAGGAGATTGGGAAGATACGTAAAACAAGATGAGCCATTAGCACATGATTAATTGAGTATTAATTATTTTAAACTTCAAAAATGGATTAATATGATTTTTTAAAATAACTTTTCTATAGAAATTTTTTTACAAAAAACACACCGTTTAGTAGTTCGGGAAGTGTGCGCGCGGAAAACAAAACTATCTTTCTCTCTTTCTCCTGCGCTCAAACGCAGCCTTATAATCATCAACCCTACATAGATCCAAAGCAAGGAGATATACTGAAAGATGGGCATGTTACTAGAAAAGTTACCGAAATGGCAAGCTAGTGATAGAACTCTAGGCAAACATTGTACGACTAGCAATTGCACTTTGTTCAGTCAAGAGAAATACTCCATACATCAGTATTAGAGGCAAAACATAGGACTAATTTGCTATGGAACATCCTAGTTTTTATCATGTGCCATATGTACTTACCAGGTATGTGTAATGAAGCTATCAGCTGGATGGTCAGTTTGCCATGATGGTTACTAGCCAGATTAGCTTAAATCCTCCAACAAACAAGCTACTATCAAAGTCAAAACAGGCCTATAAAGGATTATATAATTTGCGCCAGAACATACCTAAATAAAAGTACAGCATTCAAGTACAAAATGTATGTTGATCCTGAAAAATATGAGCAGCTCTCAAAAATCAAAAGCAGTAACACTAATAAACCTCCCAGTCATTTAGCTCAAATTTTTAGACATCTCCGTGTAATACTTTGAAAGAAGATGTGCTCAGTAGCGTACTATGATGCATGAATGCGGCCAAGACTGGCCACGGGCCAACCCATAGGTACTAATTGACCCACTCTAGTCCAAATAAACGAACTACATTTCATTTTTTGTGATTCTAAAAGTGAAATTTAGTTCATTTAGTTGAACTAGTGTGGGTAAAAGAGTATCCACGGGTCAGCCCACACTCATCCCTAGCCAACTAGTGAAGTGTATGTCTAAGTTCCTAATCTTTGTTTACATCGGCGTCAGGCCCAATTCATGAGTAAGAGAGGATGAAACATCTGTCGGATTGGCTTCAACCTCAGTATACAGTCAGCCTAAGAGGTAGCATGGTTAGAAGTCAACCTTCAAAATTATACAAGCATCTATGTGCACCACCACTAATTTCAGAGCTGATAATTTTGGTCACTTGGACATGCACAATCACACAGGTGGAGGTGGAGGTGGAGGTGGAGTTGATCCTTCGTTATCTGTAAATTGGGCCAAAGGAAGGTGATTAAATTGGTAAAACTAAAAAGAAATAATGTTACTGCCGGTGTTCTGATAAACAGCAGCGAAGGAAACAAAACATAGAAGCAAACATAGTTGCTAGAGAACAGATATGTTTCAAATGTTTACAACAGCTGGCTAAAATATAGTGGGTACCTTTCTTTCCCGGTAAACACCTTGAGATGTAAGTTTTCAATTCAGTTCGGGGAACCGGTATGAACTTTCCAGCAAAAGCCAGGGGCCAACTGCATGAACAAGGCAATAGTTAGCTCACAGTAAGCAAGCTACAGTCAATCGTTATAATTTATCCATCCCAAACTAAAGCTGTTTTCTTCGATTGCTATCAGATCAATAGTTGGAGGAAGAAAAGGTCACTAAATAATTTTGGAAAAGTATTAATCATCCCTGCAACAGAAGCACCACGTTCTACAAAGTGGACAAGTATCTCACCTCACAAAACCAATACCAACAGAAACAAGCCAAAGCTTCCAACTGAGTCTCACAGTTGATGTAAATTTCCCAAGAAACTCAATGATTATTACCTGAGTATCAGAGATATGTTAGTTAAATTTTATCTGCTCCCCGAACTATTTAATCAGCATTTGAAGGTGGATTGAGTATTTCCACCCTTTCATACCTGCAGCACGACAGTTATGCTCACTACAGCCAAAAAAAGATGGTTTCTTGAAACCCCATCAAATATATTCAGTTCATATGGTTTACGAGAATTGAACTCGTTAAACACCTATTGTAAAAGAAATGGAGAAGTTAGGATTTTTCTCAAGCTGCAAAATGGTGCACATCTATGCTATATATGAAAAGAAAAGATAACCATTTAACAAAAATCAGTAACATGCTTTCAAAAGGTGCAAGAAGCCCACCGAAGACAAATTACCTGACAAAGCACAAATGTATTAAATATAAATGTATTTTTCACTTTATTGGCATGATCAAGAGTATCTTGAGTCAAATGCAGAAGATCCCGGCCTCTAAAGTTGAGTGTCAGAAGAACAGTAACTTGAAAGACAGCCTGTGGTTAGAAAAAAAAATTCTCAGCAACTAGCCAAGTAAAAAATAATTGGATTAACAATGCAGAAGCATTATATGACAAGTCCGTCCTACCTGAATGAACAAGTTTCTCCACATAATGTTAGTCACAAGTGGTTCTCTGTGTTAAATGTGAAAGCATGTTAGAATTTTGTTATTCCTTTACAAATTTAAGACAATCAAGAATTATAGTGAGCACGGGTTGGTTTCAGGTGTACTAACTTCCGTCCAACAGGTGGCCGCTTCATAAGTTGGTCTGTTGGTGGTTCAGTAGCCAATGCAAGTGCACCAAGTGTGTCCATAATGAGATTGACCCAAAGAAGCTAAATCAACAACAAACGGAAGTAAAACATTCAGCCATGTGCCGACGTGCAAATCAATACAGTTAAGTATCTTAATTTCATTTTCACTAACAATTTCCCCTTAGCCCATGGTAAAATTATTTTTTCAACCCCATCTTTATTTACAGGACATCTTCTAAATGTCCCTTCAACAAACTTGATTGATTTAAGATTTAACATATCAGAATACACTAGAAAACGTATTCATGTCCTAACTGGTTTTGCATCCTAGGTATGCTTTCAACAAGACACCGCCAAATTCCAGATTCCAAGTGAAGCCCTCATGTGATTAAAGAATGGTACAGTGAGCAAGCAGGATACAGTCCCCAATAGTAGCAAAAAATGATAATATACTGAAGTAAACTCCGTACAGTGCCACATTGCCACTAAAGTAACAAGCACATACTCCATAGTTATTTCCATTAGCCAATGTAATGATTCAGACACAGCAGCAAGTGGACAAACTAGTTTTATTTTGAGGGAATGCACATAAAACTTGTGCATCATTGCATTAAGATTGAAAGAAACAAAGTTCTCAAAGAATCCATCTTCGCAACTCCCAAAGCAAACAGACCAACCCAAAACAAAAAAGAGTTTAAAGCAACAGAGTTTATCTCGCAATATCTTTTTGCGGCCTTACTACAGAGAGCAGTGGCCGAACTAGTCATGGCAATTCAGGCATGGCTAACAATTTGAGTTTTAAACTATCAATAAACAAAGTTATACTAATATGGCATAGTACATAGCAGTAACTCTAAGAGTATTTTCCTCTCAAAGAAAATTCTAAGAGCATTGTGTTGTTGCAAACCTGAACGGCGTTTAGAGGAACATTTCCTGAAGAAATAGCAGCAACCACATTGATTATAAGAGCCGCAACATTTACAGTAAGCTGGAATTGAATAAACTTTTGGATATTTGCATAAACCGAACGACCCCAGCGGACCACCTAGAACGTTACATATGGATAAATGTTAAGGCATTTGTTAAATTAATTGTGTAAGATTATTAAGCTCCAACTTCCCTAACCTTTACAACTGAAGCAAAATTGTCATCCAGAATAATTATATCTGAGCTTTCTTTAGCTACTTCTGTTCCTTGGATACCCATAGCAAGACCAATGTCTGCCTAAATTAGGAGGAATAAGAGATCAAAATTAGAAATGTGCATCAACATGCATGATCGATTGTCTTCATCTGATTGAAATAAAACCATTATGTTTATCCTTTTATTTGTTCAAAACAAAATTCCCAATTATGTATGTACCTCATGCAATGCAGGAGCATCATTCGTTCCATCTCCAGTAACAGCAACAACATTGCCTTTCTTTTTCAGTGCTTTTACTAGGAGAAGTTTGTCACTTGGAGAAGATCTTCCCATGACCTACAATGCATTGTTGACATCAGGTTGCTTCCCCTAGAATGATCGAGCTAACAGCCAGTACAAGTACTGAACATGGTAATGTGTAAACTCGAAAGTATGTACTCCAGATATATCTGTCTTACTACATGAAATAAATCGTTAGGCATTCTGCAGCAATTTCTGCAACCGAGCTATAGGTTTATGGTTCCATTTTTTGCCAAACCAAAAAAGCAAGGGAAAATAACATACACAATGAGCAATGAACCAGCTTAAGAACTAAAAGCACCATTATAAGGTTACATCGATAAACTTGGTACACACTTTAATATTTTTGCAAGCACAAATGAGATTGTTCTTACACTAATCTGATCAGCAACTGCCTCCCTTTCAGCGTCACTGTATGCCCGGAAAACTTTTCCCTCTATTATAACTGGTTGAGATGCCTGGGAGTCCGTGAGTATTCCACACTCAAGTGCTATTGCTCTGGCCGTTTGTAGGTTATCTCCAGTTACCATTCGTACCTGCTTGTTCAAAAACCGCAGGAGTTTGTCAGGTAATAGTGATGAGAAGAGCTACAACTATTCAAGTGGCACTGTGCCAACATTACTAGTGCTCATAGTTTTATGCCTACACATCCAACATGAACAAATAAACAGATTTAGTTCCTTAAGTAAAAGAACATGAATTCTAAAGGCAAGAAAATCAAGAAAGTCACATATCTTATGTTCACTGGAGCGTAATTGTACATCTAAATCTGATTTTCTATAATTGTATATAACAGTCAATATTTGAAGGAACATTCAAGTATCAACACTCGCTGTAAGGAAAATGGGACTGTAATGTTTGTAAAAATGCCCATTATGTCCTCCAGTACACATGAATTCAACAAACTACATACCTTTACACCAGCATTTTTGCACAGATCTACAGCATTTCTTACCCCAGGGCGACAGGGGTCCTGCAAAAAATATGGATGTCCCAAACAAAGACAAACAATGTTACCAGAACAGTAATAAAGGAAAAGTGAGCTATAATATATAACTAGCCAAACACAAATGCAATCGCATGGCTAGATACTAATGCATGCTTGTATTTGAAAATAGAGTTGTATTTACTAGATCACTCATGCATATTGCAAAGAATACATTTTTTTATGACCATAAGGCCCTAATAACCATCCGATAAATTTATACTGTAATCTAGACCCACCATATTAAATTTTGTATAACCTTTTCTTTTTCCTCTGATTAACAAGTTAATTTCTTGCCTTTACACCAGTGTTTTTTAAAAAAGGTTTACAAGGCTGCATACAAGGAACATTTGTCCCAACCTTGTACATCTTAAACTGCATGAGTGGTCAATTATACCATATAAGTGACCGATTATGCCACATAAGCACTACAAGGTGGGGTGACCACACGAAACCGCTTACTGCTTTTCAACACATTGTTTTAGACATGTAGAAACTTCTTTTAACATTGCTTTAAATATAACAGATATCATAATTCAGATATCATGGTTTGCTTTGCATGTACCTTCATCCCTACGATTCCAATGAGAGCCAGTTCATTATCTGGTAATTCCCAGTTGATTCTTTCTTCCTCATTTGGAACATAATTCAGATCAAGATTTCTATAAGCAAAAGCAACACATCGAAGACTTTCCTCGGCCATCTCCTCTATGTATTTCTTGAACTGATTAGCCTGAAAGACCCAGCTGAGACATGAGAATTATTAAATAAACCTGAGAAGGGTTTCCTATGTGGTTAATACCTTATCAGGTGTCATTTCATGACTAATGCCATTTACATCAAGCCAATTTGTACATAAGGCAAGAACAATTTCAGCAGCCCCTTTCCAGTGCACATGAATATCTGAATCATCCTGAATGCAAACAATATTATAAGGTTGCAGCGTGTTACATGCCAAATAGAAGGCACTTGCAAATCATGAAAATATTTGTACTCTAGCTAAACTAGATCCATAAACCAAGCATAGTGTTTTTCAGATTACTGAGTAATCAGAGCATGCTCAACCTGCCATGCAGTATTTCTATGTAAAGAATGGTTTTCTCATTTCAGTGCAAGACCTTTTGTTCAAACAAATCAACAAGAATGTCTGTTAACAAATAGGAGAACTTCTGATACATAAGATCCTTTTTGTTACATTCTAAAATCACGAAAAAAAATGTTCTGAACCGATATTATATCATATTATCATAGACATTAGACAAGTAAAAGAAGATGTTTGGAAAAAAACTAAACTGCAATAGTGGAGATGCAATGAATATACATAACATTAAATTGAAAAAGAAATGAACCTTTTGCCAATCAACCAACAAAAATAAAGCATGTAATCATCAAATTCTAGGGAGCCATATTTGAGATAAGGCCCATTGCCATTTCATCGCTATCGAAGTACATGTACATATTGACGACACAGGAAGAAGCTCGTGTATCTAATGAGTATGTGTCTATGAAATCATTTCAAGAAATAGGATGCCACGAACAAACTAACAGCCAAAAACTAGATCTCAAATAACATTAGTGACAAAAGATGGATTTACCACAATCACTGCAACACCGGCACGTTTCTTTTCTGAGTTGAATGGGGAGACATGAATAATAGAAGATTTTGATTTCTCCTCCGCAAATTTCATATGAAGCTACAGGAGGCATCAGCCAGATAAGTAAAAATGTAGCCACCAAAAGAGAAGCAAAGTATGAGAATGCAAGGAAACTTACCTCAACACCCCAAGAAAGAATAGCCTTTTCAGTTGGTGAGCCTGTTATCTCAATAGGACTACCATCCTGATGAATCAAGAATCAGGATAACATAGAAGGATAAAGGTACCAATATGAGACAATGCATGTAAAGAATGCAGATCACTGAAACCACTAGCAATGGCACCAGTACACAAGTACGAAAAAAGACATATGTCTCACATTAGAGATCAAATTTAAAACGCTTCCCCTGCATGCCTTTTAAAATGGTATCAACTTGGTAATAAACTGACTAGTGCTCATGTGCTTCCTCATTTGCACAAATCTTGAAGCAGGCAAGCAGCATCCTTAGTAGTGGAACTGTGTGTTGTTGCAAACAGACACTCAATATGATTTAAAGTTCACACTATACACTATTGTGGAGAGCATAGAAGAACCTCTTCAAGAGAATGCAACTCATAAAAAAATCAGACCAGGATGTTAAATACCTACCAAATAGATAACTAGAATCTACCAAATCTACCAGCTACTGAATAGCCTAATTTAGAATAATGAACAATGTTCAGGTATGTAAACTGCAGTAGTAATAAACACGTGGCATCACCTCTGGCTCAAAAACGCTGCCTGAAGAATTCTGTGCGATTCCTTCAAGTATAAGAGAGGAAACAACAGGCGACAAATTCTCAATATCAGCTGGAGATTTCAGCTTTATCCCCCCAACAACAGATCGGACAACGGTCATCTTAAGCAACCAAAATTCAGAGTCAAATAATCACAAAGGTACCATGGTAATTTACAACTGAGTATTAGAGTAAATTGTATATCCATTACTATGCAAAAACAACTAACCTGATTGAGTGTTAGTGTACCAGTCTTGTCACTACAAATGGTTGTAGCTGAACCCATTGTTTCACAAGCTGAAAGCCTCCGCACCTGAAAATCACATGAGTGGAACCATGTAATAACCAAAAGGGTACAACATAAACAAAACCGAGAAATATATACCAGAGCTTTGTCTGCCATCATTTTTTGCATCGAATAGGCCAGCCTGATAAAATAAAACAAGAGGTTGAATGATTCAAATAAAGTTAAACATGAATGAAAACATCAACCTATATCAACTCACGTTAGAGTTACGGCAAGTGGTAGTCCCTCAGGTACAGCAACGACAACAATAGTCACCTACATGGTACTTTGTAATATAAGAATGGGATAACAGAAGGGTCTTCAGATACACTGAACACTAAACCACTACATACCGCGATAGTTAGTATCTTTATTGTCCCAAAAATTGTAGATTTCACACTTGTTTGCCCCTTAACAAATTGAATAGAGCCATCTGGATTTGTAGTATGCCCTGTAAAATATCTGGGAGCAAAGGAGAAGTTCTAAGTACATAGTGGATACATGGGCAACAAACATCATATATTACATATATACACAATCATGATGGCGATTCCTAATTATAGTATCTTATATATTTCTCAATATAGGGATCATATACATCATTGTGCGTGTGTGCATGTATTGTGGTGGGGATCATACATCATGGTGGGGGTTGGTCGGGGATGGGGGGAGGATGCAAAGAGACTAAACCTTGTTACAAGTGCAGTAGTGTCTCTTTTCATCTGTTTCATGTATAGTCCAGTTTATATTTAAGTTATTCAGATGATAATCATTGCAGAGTGAGCACTTTATTGCTTTACCAAGCAGTGTAATGATATGCCATATTGCACTCCAGGTTCCAGTACAATTCAAAACGCATAAGTTTAGTGGTAAAAAGTGTCATGCCGACAATTTGATTTTTGCTTGTATGGGTTAATCACCAAAGCTATACTAAATTTACATCAAGAAGATGCATAGATAGCCATTCACTTTGCTTACCTTGCAACAAGGACTATGAGAACCATTGCAGCAACAGAAAGCCCCACAATACCTATGAAAGTTGCCACTCCATTCAACCGTACCTTCAACAGAAAAGAGAAGAACATGAATGAATCATAAGATGTAAATGATGGCATGGGCAACTGTTCAAATGCAGGGCAAGTTTGGTTCTCTACCCTATCATGTTTTGGTTATTTGGTAGTGCCAAATCTTGGGCAAGTTTTGACCCTACCAAATTTTCGATAGGATAGAGGTGCCTCAACTATATGGATTTGACAAATATTGGCTTCAATGCGAACACATAATAGGTACATATTGAAGTTGCCAAATTGTTGGTAGTGCAAAACCAAACCAGCCCACAATTCCCATTCAGGTCATAGCACAGGGATTGGAGAAAAACCTGTAGTGGAGTTTCTTCATTGTTGTCTTCTGAGATGCTGGCCATCAATAAGCCCCACTCAGTGTTTAGACCGACTGCAGTTACCTACAAAAGAAACTGCAAAATTTCATATACAAAAGACTTCCACACCACATTACAAATGTTAGAAAAAAAACGTCACAAACTTAATTCTTGAGGGTATAAGGCACTAACATACATGAGACAAAGTAATGACGTTGATATTTTTGCACTTCAGTCGTGTAAGTAGGGGTGAAATTTCATATCATTTCACTAGGGTCTGTTAAAAAGTCCACCGAATTGGTTTACTCTAGCTTGTGAATTAATTTACTGGACTAAACAGCAGTACTTAAATCGATGATCAGAGGTGACAGATGGGCCTCAAATTGCCTCTTTTTGTTAACAGGCATGCAATTTTCATAAGAAAAAAAGTGGAAGAGTGAGGCCATTGAATCAAGATATGGTTACTTACCAACATGGTACCATAACCATCAGCTACTTTGCATCCTCCCATTAAGAAAGGTGATTTATGGTCCTTGACAACCTAATAAAAGAAACAGGGTTTACATATGATGGGGAAGTCAGTCCTATATAGGACAATAGGGGTCGAAAAGGTTGCTTACGATCTTGCTTTCCCCAGTCATACTGGATTCATCAATGGCAAGAGAATGACCACTAACCAAAACACCATCAGCCGGGACCTAAAAGGTGTATTTAGTTTCATTATAATCTCAGAAATACAAACAGCATAGAACATAAATCAAATCAGAATGCATGGATTTACATAATCTTACCTGGTCACCAATTTTTAGAGCCACTACATCACCAACTACAATATCAAATATTGACACTTCAATCCTTCTACCACCTCTAATAACCTGACAAGTGTAACACAAATACAACCCCATTAGAGGACTAAAATATTGTTGCTAATTATCTGAGAAATGGGTATATTCATATGGCGCACCTCCACTTGTATATTTTGCTTCTCTTCATTAAGGTGCTGGAACTGAAGGGACTGTTTGTAGTCACTCACAGCTAATACAAAACAAAATGAGTGTTTAGTAAAGCAACTAAATTATTCCAACTAGAGTGTCTTGCATGGGTTTGCTAAGCAGAAGGAAAAAAATGTTGAACATTGAAAAATGAAGGATATGGGGGAAAAACAAAACATGCTGCAGAAACATTAGTAAATGACAAACAACGTGGAAACTAAAAACTGAGCATGCTTTGAGAACAATTTGATTAGATCTGTTGAGAAAATTGCATACAGTGTGTTCTTAATGAAATATCGGACAGCAAAAGAATGTTGTGAAGCAAGCTATTGTGGCTAGAGCTGAGACTCTTCAAGCATAGGCGTTGGAATAGCGTGCAGGCTTCAGTTAACAGAATCAGGATAGGCGAGTTGGGAACATCAGAGGGTCGTCTGATACTGATATATGGAAGCGGCTCAACCAAACAAGCAATAGGTAATAATGTCGTGTAGCAGATTCGCGAACAAGGGTTACTGAGCCTGTTGCCCTGTTGTCAGAGAAAGCACCTGCACTCTCTAGCTGACATATGGAAGTGGCTCAACCAAACAAGCAATAGGTAATGATTTGTGAAGAAGGGTTACTGGGCCTGTTGTCAGGGAAAGCATCTACACTCTCTAGCTGCCTTTTCGTTGTATTGTGCATAATGTAACTAAGGGTGCCTGAGATATTTAGACTTGGATTGTTTGAATCTTCATAACAAGTTCTGTACAAGCCTTATGTGTAATAATTTATTTGGGGACGTCTATCATAACTCCATTATTGCAGTAATTGAGTATTATTTGTTACTGTTCAAAAAAAGTACATGACAAAAATAGAAGTGGTGTTCTATTTAAAAGAGCTAATGATAAACTGCAATCACTTTGCCAAAGAATAACACAAAAAACATCTAGTCTTTTATCATTACAAATTAAAGCATGACTCAAACTTCAGAAAAAGTTAAAGAACCTTTAACAATGGTTTGCATCTAAGTAAAGTATAATGATGGTGTATTCACCTATTAATATCTCAACTATTGAACTGCTTAGAGAAGATCAATTAGCATAGAGATGAACAGGCGAAGAATAGCATACCAGTAACAAGTATGACAAGAAAGACCGCAAATGCAATGCTTGCACCGTCGTACCATCCTTCTTTGATGCCCTAATGAATTTTTTTAAGACAGAACTTAGAACTAAAGAAAACACTGATCAAAAGTTTTGCTGGCAGTGAGGGTGCTCAACTAAACCATCGTTTGTGGACATTAATGAAATTGGATTTCAAGATCAGAAGGGAAAATAATATTTAACCAATAGTTAGATAACATACAGTGCATAAGAAATATAAGAAAGGAGGATGGTTATAGGAGTCACCTCTGTTGCAATGCCCAATACCAGAGAAATTACAGCCGCTATGATAAGGATAACTAGTGTCAAGTCTTGGCAAGCTTCCCAGAGGAAAACCTGTTAACCCCCGGACCCCAAAGAAAGAAAGACAGACAGACAGACAGACAGACAGACAGACAGACAGACAGATAGAGAGATAGATAGATAGATAGATAGATAGAGAGAGAGAGAGAGAGAGAGAGAGATATCAGTACTGAAACTAAGACACGCTTACTAGTTGAAATGGACAAATAAATTTACCAAAAAACTTCTCCCCTTTTTGCGAGGGTATCTGTTAGCCCCAAAAGCATTTGCCCTGCATGCCAAATCTACCTCATCTCCATGGACTCCCTTCTCCGTGTTTGTTTTCAGTAAATTTGCGAGTCCTTTAACCTAATGTTTATTAAAGAAGAATTCCATGCCTTAATTAGTAGTTCTAAAAATGATATTCAAGTTAAATTTGCAGTATGAATGGTACATGCCCCTCCATATCCGTGCAGAGAAGAATAATCATGATCCCTTGTCATAGCTGTAAGCTGCTCCTCTCCAATTCCGAACCCGCGAGGGAGAATTTCTGCATTATATGAATGTGTAAGGTTTTCTCTCTTTTTCTCTTTGCACAGCTATATATCACAATGCAATTCAGTCCTTTACTATGTGAACTATTAATCCTCGACAAAGATAGCAAGCATATTGATAAACAACAAAGGTAAACACAACTAACAATTATTCAAGAGAAAAAAACACAACTAACAATTATGTCTCCAGCCTGAAAGTGAGTCCACAAAAGCTACCTGGTAATTCCCTATCAACATCATGCTTTTGTCCAGCTTCCTTGAAAAGTAATGCGGCCTGATTGAATTCAAAACTGAAACCGTCAAACAAGATACCATGACATGATATGCATATCACAAATATAAGGTTAAACATATACCCGGATGACTTGAGCATGAGCCCTAATTTTCCTCCTTATTTGTTCCTTTTCCTCCTCTTTCTTCAGATCAAGAGTATATCTGAATCGCCGAGAGGCATTGAGCACAAGAGCAGCTTGCTGCCAATGGAAAACATAGTTGTATTGTGTAAAAATAATGAGCAGGATACAACATTAGTCAAGATTGTATATGCATTGCTAGTTAAAATAATTTTCACGAGATTGTTTAACTTGTAAATTCAGTTCTAACGATTTTACAAGTTCAATAGGATCCACCTAAAAAAATGATCAATAGGTCTTCAAAACATTAAAACTAGGACATTTGTTTTCCCATCTGTGTACGAGGTTCATTACAATGTCTCTGTACATGAGGGATAGGTTCATTACAATGTCTCAGCCCGCAACAGTTGCATATGTAGCCAAGGGTCATGAATGAGCCTATACATGCATACCTATTCACTAACATAGTTTAACATTTCACAGTACCTGAAGAGAACTAAGAACCGACCATTCATATTCACAGTCAGTGTTCATCTCATTAGATTCTAGGTGGTAGCAACAGAGCAAAATACTAACACCAGCAACATTCGGTTCTTACTTCGTAGTATTGTTTCCTAGAGTAAAATTGGCAATCCTCAGATCATTCGGAAGCTTTAGAGAACCACAGTTCCACGATTGAGTTTTACAGGAGCCACAAAATAGGAAAAAGGTATACAGGATCATAATAATAGTTCAATACTTCCTCCGTTTCATAATGTAAGTCATTCTATCATTGCCCACATGAATATAGATGCTAATGAATCTAGACATTATATATGTCTAGATTTATTAATACCTATATGAATGTGGACAATATTAGAATGACTTATGTTACGAAACGGAGGGAGTATAACTAAAAACTTAAAAGCGCAAGTGGCAGCCAAAGGTAAATCCCGCACGGAATTAAACAGCATTGCACATGGAAGCATGAGCAGTAGAATGTAGCAGTTAGCGGAGAGAAGGGGAGGAACTCATACTCACCCTCCACCGGCGAAGCCGCTCGACGGAGGCGCGCTTGGCGGGGATGTCGAAGGGGTCGGCCCCCTCGTCCAGCACGTCGACGCCGAGCACGTCGCTGCAGTCGTTGCCGTTGCCATCGTCGTCGTCCCGCCGCCGATGGTACCTCCCCGGCGACGCCTCGGGCGCCTGCACTCCCACCGGCATGATTCCTCAGGAGAGATGACACGGACACCACCAGGCGGCGGCCGCCCCCGATCTGCACGCACATTCCCACACCACCCTCATCAGCAACAGCATAAACACACGCACAAAAAAAAAAAACAAGCACAAATCCCAACCCATCCCCCGACCCCTCGCCCCCCAAAACCAACAGCGACACGCGCAAAAATCCAGAGCAACCTGGGGGGCGGCGAGCTGTAGCCGGAGCCGGAGGCGGCGGCGGCGGCGGCGGCGGCGGAGTCGGAGTGGGGGGAGGGGGTGGGGGAGGAGGAGGCGTGCGGCGGAGGAAACGAAGCGAATCGAGGGCTCAGGGCTCTGCTCTGCTCTGCTCTTTAATTTCCGCGTTGCTTCCCTCCCCCGCTTTTCCCGCTTGAAGAGGGGGAGTGCTTCACGCAGACGACGCGGAGGCGGGGGCGCTTCGGCTTCCGCTTTTTTTTGCTTTAACTCGGAGAGGAATCGCGCCGCAGTTCGCCGGGGGATTTTCCGGCGGGTCTCGGAGCCGGGAGAGTGTAGTCGTGGTGGTGGTGGGCTAGTGGTGAACTCGTCGTCGACGTCGCGGCCGAGTCGAGTTCGAGACCGTGACTTGTGTGATGAATGGTGTCGCGGTCGGACGACGCGGGGGTGACCTGACCTGACCTAACGAGCCCAACTGCTCGATCGAACCGGCGCGATTGGCTCGGTGTCTCCGTCACGCGTACGTGCTGGGTGCGTGGCACGCGCGACGGTCTTGGCTGGGCTGGGCTAAATAAATTGCGCGTTGGCGACTTTGTATCTGGGGCGCACGGCGTCGTGCGGGCACGCGTTGGTTCGGTTGCGAACCAACGGTGGAACGGAGCGACGACCCTGTCGGCTGTAGCTGGTTTTTGTTTTCAAGTCCGATTGTTTTCCTGATCCTCTCGATCGGCCAGAGCCAGGCCAACTAGCCAAAAGACAAGCTACCAAAAATGTGCTGTGGCTGGGACTGTGGGTGTTTTCCGTTTCTTTTTTTTTTTACTTTGTCTTTTTGTCTCTATCATATTTACATTCTAGTTCTATAAGAATAGGGGGGCGGAAATTTCTTGAAAACCTGTCAACTAAAGCGTTGTGTCGGGTTTTTCTTTTTTTTTTTTACTAAATCTCAATGCTAAATTGTTGACTAGTTAGTTTGGTTTGTAGGCGAAGGATATTGAAACCCGGAAAATACCGTACTTAATTGTAATTCCACCTTAGCCTCACTAATTCATGTCCAGACCTATACATTAAGTTCACAAGGCACGTCACATCCCACACCAGCCACAAGCCATCAATTTTAGAAGCATCATCGTCGTCTAGTTAGTCACTGTAATCTCCTGAGTTGTGACTCTCGTTAGTAAGGCTCCTACCATTCGACCATTGCATCAATCGGTAATCCACATTCGATCTGTTTATTACAAAAGCCAAAAAAACCGATCCGAAACATTCATTTTTTTCTTCTAACAAATTTGGTTGGCATATGTTCAAACCTAAAGATCTGCCAAACCAAATGAATCAAATGTCTCCTTCCCCTACTTCCCCCACTTTATCCTCTTCATCTCCGAGCATTCCCCACTTCACATCATTAGCTGTTGTTTTTTATGTTTATGGTGGCCCCAAAGAGATTGAGTACGATAATATTTCAAGTAAGGGAGAGAGGATGCAACAGTAGGGGAGATTAGTGATATTGGGTATGTATATGGATGAAGCGATGCCAAAGTATAAAAATAAATGGATATGGCGCAACAAGTTAAGAGGTGCGTTAAGAAAATATTGCAGAAGAAACCATCACATATAAGAATTTTTTTTTCTCAAAAAAAGGGGTGGGTTGTAGGGAATTTAAAGGATTCTGTATGTGGAGGAGGCTGGTGGCTATACAAACTCTATCCCTCCCCGAAAAAAATACTACTCTATTAGAAAGAGCTTAGAACTCTAAAAAAAAAAGAAACATGGGCATGGTAAGATTTGGTCATTCAAATTCATAAGATAATAATATAGCTATATTTAATAATTTCAAGTAAAATTATATATATATAGATTATATATTATATGGATGCTAGCCGCACAATTACGCATAAGAAAAGGAATTCATGTAAGCGTCGAAGGCACGTACGATTCCTCTCCGCGAAAGGAGCTCACGCGATCGGGCGCATGTGCAAATGGACGAGAGAAACGCATATACGTACGTACCTCGGGTAGGTGATCGATCCGCCGTGCGCGCGCCCCGAGACGACGACGGCGAGCGGCGTACAGAGTGAAAACCAGCTCACAACCCCAAACAATCAAGCACGATTCGATCGCCGGTCGGCTGAGAGCTTCCTAGCTCGCTCGCTCGATCCGCCGGTCCTCTCGCCGCGCGCCGCTGCTAAGCTAGCTTCTCCGATCCTTGCTACTCTCGATCGATCGATCTCTTGCCGCTCAACTAGGCCACCAGCTACCGTTTTTTCACGCCGCCCTCTTTAATTTGGCTACATATATGAGATGATCTCTACGGCTACACGCTCTGCTAGCTCCATCCGTCCAAATTAAAGGGGCTTACTGGAGAGAGTGGAGACACAAAACGCTTGCTTCCGGCGGTGAACAAGGAAGCGATCGAGCGCCTCTCTGCTTTATAAGTATGTCGGTAGCTAGCTTTTGCGCATTTGCATCGCTGCCTGCCTGCTCTCACCTTGTGCTATCGCTCTGCTCTTTTAGAGCAAGTTTAACAATATAGCCAACTGCTAGCTCCAAATCAGCTATATCCAAATCATCTATAGCCAATGTAATAGCTAATTCATACAATAGTTACTTACTATACTATTAATACCTGGTCCTACCTGACATACGCACATTATGTCTTGGAGTCCGTGCTGCAGCTGACTACAGATCTATAGCCCACTGTTCTTCTTTCTCTTCCTTTTTCTCCTTAAAATATGTTTATAGCTGGCTTATAGTCTGCTATTGTACCTGCTCTTATAGAGAGAGAAGAAAAGAACGGTGTTAACTGTTAAGTATACGGTTTTTTGCGCTACATATCCGTTATGGTTTTTAATTTGTGCAGTGCAAGTTTTCTAAGTCTAGAGCTCGAGTAGGGCTCAACTAGTTAATAACGGCGTGATTATATTCACTTCACGTATTGATATATATGAATTGAATGAATACTATTACCTTCTTACACAAATATACGACGTTGATTAGTTTAATTTTGAGCTAACCAACATAAAAAAAATATGGAGGGAGTACTACACACTGGGGTGTAAATACACGAGAGGGAGAGAGGGAGAGAGGGGGAGTTGTAGACGGGATCTTAATTAGTAGTAATAGAATGTACTAAAGAGTCACGTACGACCAACGAAAGAATCTCTCCTAACAGCAGCAACATCAGATACTGACATATACTGACTAGCTAGGATCTTGGAGGAGATGGATATCTATATCCTCGTCCCGACCTGTATATATCGATGATTTGGCAGGCAGGGTGTCGTAGAGCTCGATCGATCTGCTGTTCGCATGCTTTTGCAACTGGATATATGCTAATTAATCCCACTGTTCATATGCAGTAGCTTAATTGACTAGGTCGTTAGTACTCATGCTAATTAATCCGACTTTTCATATGCAGTACTACTACTAATTACTTACTCCGTCCCATAATATAAGGGATTTTAAGTTTTTGCTTATAACGTTTGACCATTCGTCTTATTCAAATTTTTTAAATTATTATTTATTTTATTTGTGACTAACTTTATTATCTACAGTATTTTAAGCACAATTTTTCGTTTTTTATATTTGCAAAAAAAAATTGTTGGAAACTTGGAACACAATTGGATGTCATGCATGTGTGTACGCCGTGTCGCCGTCCTTTGCTACTTTTTACTCGTTGATCTAGTTGCTCGATCGAGCATAATTGCAACTAGATCCATCACAATGTCGTCGCTAAATCATTCATTCACACGGATTAATTAAGATATCGATGCATGCACGGGCACGATATTAATGTTCGAAATTAAGTTTGATATGTATACAGATCAGTAAAAGAGTAGAATGACGCAGCTAAGCTAGAGCGGTTACGTTCATCATCGGTTGGGCGGCAGATTATTGCAACCATGCATATAAGCTTGCCTAAGCAGATCGATCACAAATTAAAGATATACTATCACTTTTGTCTGATGTCGTAGACGAACCTTGCGACAAATGTAACGACCTAGCTTTTCTGCCGTCGTGACGATCAATCCACCCCTTTGAGCACTCAAAGCATATTTGAGAGTATATCTATGTACACATTTTGTCTTATGCAATACTACATGTCTACATATACAAAATTTGTCTTATGAAGCACAGGATCACTGCAATATATAGTACTCCCTCCGTTTCGAAATGTTTAACACTATTGACTTTTTAGCACATGTTTGACCGTTCGTTTTATTCAAAAACTTTTGTGAAATATATAAAATTATATGCCTACATGAAAATATACTTAACAATGAATCAAATGATAGGAAAAGAATTAATAGTTACCTAATTTTTTTTAATAAGACGAACGGGAACATATGCTTAAAAAAATGAACGGCATCGACATTTCGAACGGAGGGAGTATATTAATTCGCTATTTTCGCCAGAAATTTCCGCGCTGCTTCATTCGCTATGTATGCCTATGTTTTTGCAAAGGTATTGATCGATGACTTGACCAAAGTAGAACATGCATGAGTGGCCCAGGGATAGATAGGTCGTCAGGGCAGAGGATCGCATTTGTGCGGCTAGCTAACCGACCTGACCTGGCGTCCATGATCTCGGTCTCCGAGACGACCCGGAGCAATTTCAGGCAAGTTTCCTTCGAATGGAACATGAACTACTCACTCTTTGGTGAGTACGGCTGTATCTAGCTCCTTCAAACTTTAAAAAATTCCATCACATCAAATATTTATTTGGACACATGTATGGAGCATTAAATATAGACGAAAAAAATAATTACATAGATTGTATGTAAATTGCGAGGCGAATCTTTTGAGCCTAATTACGCCATAATTTAACAATGTGGTGCTACAGTAAACATTTGGTAATGACGAATTAATTAGGCTTAATAAATTCGTCTCGCACTTTACATGCGGAATCTATAATTTGTTTTGTTATTAATCTATGTTTAGTTCTTCAAATGTGTGTCCGTATACGTTAAAAAAAATTTGGAGGAGGAACTAAACACGGCCTACATTTTCCAAGCTGAAACATATGTCTCAGCGTAAAAATTTTCTATATAGAAGTTTAAAAATATTAAGTGAATTTATTTTTTAAGTTTATAATAATTAAGTTTGGAAAGCACTCGTGCGTGCGCTCACCTTAAGTAAAGAAATAGCACTTCCTGTTATGCAGAAATGAATGTAGCCTAAGACATTCATGTTGCAACACACTCTTAGTCTTAGTCTTAGGCCTTATTCAATTAATCCCCTTTAGAAAGGGATTAGAGGGGATTTATTCCACATGGTGTGAAATCATTCTCTCTCAATCCCTTCCAATCCTCTTCAACCCCATCCAAATCGAACAAGGCCTTAGGAGTGATTTAAAAGAGAGAGAGCACCACGTGAACTAAGACTATACCCCCTAATATTGTAGTGCAAAATGACTTAAGTGTGGCTTTAATTTTACAAGTCCGT